ATACCGGAAACAATAGTCAAAAACATACCAAAAATAGTCTGGGGATTTGTGTTTGGAGTATTTGTTTGACCTTTTTAGTAAAATGTTTTTGGTATTTTTATGTTTCGTCGAAGATCCCCCTGTAGGGGGACACGCCCGACTTAACTTTGCTGCAGTCTTCACGGGCGTACCACAGTCCCTGGTTACAGGGCCGTGACGTCTTCCTGGCATCGCTCGGACGTGCTGATTTTTTCTTCTCGGCGAAACTGTGGAGGACCGTCCTGGACCATCGAGCAACAAAAACACACTCACGAAACCGAAAAATGCACGGGAGATGGACGTCCGAGCGATAGCGAGTTCTTTGCTCTGACGTTCGCTCGTCGGCCGTGGGGCCACGGCTCCCCCACGGCTCGGCCCCCGTGGGGCCGCGGCCCAGTAATTGCAATAGTAGCAGTAGTAGTTAGTTAGATTCCAAATCGTAATCGAACTTGGAGTGTTAATTTTCAAATCGACATCTAGCATGGGTTCTTTGCTCTGGCGTTCGCTCGTCGGCCGTGGGGCCACGGCTCCCCCCCCCTTGTGCGCGAGCGCGGCCTCGTCGCGCCGCCGCCGGCAGGGCGCCGCGCTCGCCTCCCCCGTGGAGGTCGTCGGGTGCGAGGCGGCCCCGCGGCGCAGCTCTGCCCCCCCGGGCGGCCCGGGCGGCCGCCACAGCGACGAGGGCGGCGAGGGCGACGCTGGCAACGTCGACGACGGCAACAGCGGCGGCGCCACGACGACAGGGGCAGGAGCAGCGGTTTGCGACGACTGGCGCCGGTCCCAGTTGGGCATGCTTCTGCTCCCGCCTTCCCTGCCTCCCCCTTCTCTCCGTCCTGTCCCTGCCCCCTCCTGCTTCCTCCTCCTCGCCCTCATCATGTTCCCTGCCTCTTCCACAGGTCTCCCCCCCCCCCCACACACACACACACGCACACGCACACACACACACCCACACACCCACACACACACACGCACACACACGCACACACGCACACACACGCACACACACGCACACACACACGCACACACACGCACACACGCACACACACACACACACGCACACGCACACGCACACGCACACGCACACATACGCACACGCACACGCACACGCACACGCACACGCACACGCACACGCACACGCACACGCACACGCACACGCACACGCACACACACACGCACACACACACACACACGCACATTCATCCCGGCGCCAGCGAAGAGGCGGCGTGGGCGAAGCCTGGGCGGGGTCGTTGCAGGGCGAGGGTGCGCGAGAGACGCGGAGCAAAGCGGAGGGCGGCAGCAGCGGAGGGGAGGACGGCAGAGCGGAGGACGGCAGCGTCTACGGCCGGTCTGAGTCAGAAGTCTTCTCCCTCTGTAAGAACGGTTTTTTGAAGGCAGACCTGCCTGCAAGGAGGAAAGACTGGTCTACTCTGTAAGAAAGGTTTTTTGAAGGCAAATCTGTCTTCAAAAAATGGTCTACTCTGTAAGAACGGTTTTTTGAAGGCAGACCTGCCTGCGAGGAGGAAAGACTGGTCTACTCTGTAAGAACGGTTTTTTGAAGGCAAATCTGTCTTCAAGGAGGAAAGACTGGTCTACTCTTTAAGAACGGTTTTTTGAAGGCAGATCTGCCTTCAAGGAGGAAAGACTGGTCTACTCTGTAAGAACGGTTTTTTGAAGGCAGATCTGCCTTCAAGGAGGAAAGTCTGGTCTACTCTGTAAGAACGGTTTTTTGAAGGCAGATCTGCCTTCAAGGAGGAAAGACTGGTCTACTCTGTAAGAACGGTTATTTGAAGGCAGATCTGCCTTCAAGGAGGAAAGACTGGGTCTACTCTGTAAGAACGGTTTTTTGAAGGCAGATCTGCTTTCAAGAAGCAAAGACTGGTCTACTCTGTAAGAACGGTTTTTTGAAGGCAGATCTGCCTTCAAAAAACCGTTCTTACAGAGTAGACCAGGCTTCCCTCTCCTTGCCGAGCCAGGGGGCGCCGACGCAGCAACGACGTCCCCTTAGTAGAAGACGAAATATGGCCATAGTCATAAACTTTTGGCGATCCGCGCAGATTTCTCGGATCCGCGCCGGGGCCCCCCCGGCAGCGCCTCCGGCGCCGCCCCGTGCGCGCTCCGCGCGCCAGGGAGGGGGGTCCAGCGCACTTCCAAGAAACCAGCGCGGAGCGCCACATGTCTCTATGCTTTTCTGTTTGCCGAATGCTTTTCTTCCTCCTCTTCTACTGACGGAGGGCCGATGCCCTTCCCTGACGAGCGAACAACTCACACCCATACCCATAGGAGGGTCGAAAGGAGGGGAACTGGCTATGGGTATGGGTGCGAGTCGTCGGACCATGGGGGGAAGCTCCCGTTCGAGCGGGGACCCCCATCCGACAGCACGCACCCATAGCCTCCTCCGTCCCCCCTATGGGTATGGGTGCGTGTTGTTCGATCGCCATTCCCCCTGCCGCACGCGTCCCCGCACGCGCACGCTCCGGGCTGCTCGGAGGCCAGGCCAGAGGGGGGCGCTCGCGCTCGGGCCGTGGAGGTCCTCCGCGGGCGGCGCAGCGACCTCGGCCTCCCGGCAGGAGTCGTGCAGAGGGAGGAGGAGGAGGAGGAGGAGGAGGAGGAGGAGGAGGAGGAGGAGGAGGAGGAGGAGGAGGCGAGGGAGGAGGAGGCGAGGGGAGGAGGAGGAGGAGGAGGATGAAGGAGGAGGAGGAGGCGGGGAGAGGAGGAGGAGAGGAGGAGGAGGAGGAGGAGGAGGAGGAGGAGGAGGAGGGAGGAGGAGGAGGCGGGGAGGAGGCGGGGGAGGAGGAGGAGGCGGGAGAGAAGGAGGAGGAGGAGGAGGAGGAGGAGGAGGAGGACCTCGGAGGAGGAGGAGGAGTTGTGCTCCGACCTGGAGCCTGCCGGGGTGGGCATTGCCCCGCACGCGCGCCGGCATGGTCGGCGGATGCCATGCTTTGCGCTCAAGGGGCCCCCGGGAAGCCCCAAGAGGCCCCCGAGAGGGCTGCCAAGAGGGCTCTAGGATGGCCGGACACGCCCAGACAAATCGCCACAGCGTCAAACAATGCGCTCCACAGGCGTCCCCAAGGTCGGGGTTCGTGGCAATCTCAGGTTTGCTTGGCGCTCATCTGGTTCTGATTCCGCCTCCACGGGTCCCAGGTGGGCGCTGGGCGCGATCGAAGTGTGACTGACTGCGGGCCCGCGGGTCCCAGGTGGGCGCTGGGCGCGATATAAGTGTGACCGCGAGCCTGAATTTGCCGTTCTGAGTGGGACAATTTACTCCCGGTCGGATAATTTCGCATGCAAATCACGGCCCCATGCGTTGATAAGCCACACGGTGGGACTATATTCCAGCGGCGCAGGGACTTGATTGTTGTTTCCAGCGGGGCGTGCACGAACAGATCGTGAGATTGGTCAGCGTCGCGTTCACAAACTCTTGCGTGGCACCGTTACCAGGAACAGTGAGCTCATTTCAAGTTGTCCTTCGGCCTCTGAGCCTCCCGTGCCACCCTTGCTTGGCAAGTCCCCGTGGGCGTTCACGCAAGGGCGTTCCAGTAGGAGCCTCGCCTTCGAGGACCGGAGGGGGTTGTCATCTCTTCCTCGGCGCAGAGGGGCGGAAGGGCGGCGGAAGCCCGCTGGCGGAAGCCGGCGGACATGCGTCCTCAAGTGATGGCAACATGTTTGGCTCTGGGGTTTCCTGAGCCGCTTGGTTCTGGAGCGCCTCTGGGCGAAATTCGATTGTTGCCTCGCCTCCGCGCAGTGGTTTCGGGCCTTTGTCGGGGGCGACCCTGGCCCACGATGATCCCAGTGTTGCCACAGAGGCCCAAATGGCTTGCAGAGCACACACCACAAGGTTCAGAGGGTTCCTGGGGCTCCAGTGGGCTCCAGGATGGGATGGGAAGCTTGGGGTACCTTCGGACCACGATCACCTCTGGTTGTCTCCGAATGATGATGACCAGTGCAGCAGTGCGCCGTAGCTGCTGCTGCGGTCGGATTGCCACTACGGCACATCAGTGAAGCTGAATAGTTGGAATGTGAAGACACAATCGCGATGGCCTTTCAGAAGTATTGTCATTACCATGCGTCGTGTGTTATCATTTGATCATTGATGTCGTCTTCGTCCTCGTATATTCGGCCCCGACTCGTCATGATGGCTGCTTGCATTACCCTTCCGTCTGTTGCGATGCGGCATTCCATTCGCAACACTATTGGACTGATCTTCTACCACTCGTCTTTGTCATTCCGCACCTGCTCGGTTGCGCTTGCCAGGTGAGGAAGCCGATGTGGCCCATCTTCGAATTCCACCGCACGACTGGCGAGCAGTGGTAGCCGCCTGCTTCTGCATTTTGTTTTACGTGTCGACAACATTCCGTGTACTGCTCCCCTCTTGCTCATGGCTCCGCGCTTTCGCTGCCGATGAGCGGAAGCACGTAGTAGTAGTAAATTTCCCCATCTGGAATCTGGCGCCTCAGATGACATTGGGCCTTCACGGAGCCTTCGAATATTGATCATCAAAGGCAGAACGATTTGGGATTGAGTCTCAAACCACAGAGGGTGGCATTTCGGTTTCTTGCGCTGATTGGGAATATGTACGATCTCGCCAACGCCTTGCGACCAAGCACCGGGCTCCTGCAACACCCTGGGCACCTCAGCGTCGTCGACTTGTGCCAGAGTCTGAGCACGCTCACGCGCTTATCAGTGCCTCAATGGCCGTGTTCGTGGCAATTCCGATGGTCAGGGAATGAATTCACGGGTGGTGGGCCGTTGAACCCATGAAGGGCGGTTGGGCTATCCCACGAGACGACCGCAATGGACCCGAAATAGGCCAGGAGATGATATGATAGCATCCTTCTGCTACAGTGGGGGGCCATGCCAAGAAACACCCTGCTTGCCTCCAGGGTGCCCTGACTTTCTGGGGTTTCGATAGTTTTGCTGTGGAAGGCGTGACGTTCCCACACCAAAAATCGATGGACGTTCTGGGATCTCAGGGTTGGCTTTCTTTTGGCAGGTCGCTTGTGGTTGGGCCCCCACTGTAGCGTCCTTCTGCTACGCCCTCCAGACCAGAGTCTCCCACGCGTGTGCGTCCCAGAGCCTTGCACCGGGCGGGGCTAGCATGGGGATAGAATCGGTCCCGCGTGCTACTGAACGCTCGCAGAGCGTCCTGGATCGCTCTGTGGTGGCCGCGGCGCCCGAGACATCCTCCCCAGCGCCCATGCGAGGAATCCGGGCGGACCTCCGAGTTTTTAGGTTTATGTGACTTGTTGTTCCCCTATTCATCCCTCCCGCGAGAAGGCCAGGGCAGGCCAGGTCGGGCAAGGCCCGTCCGCCCTCCTGCGACGAAATCGGCCAAGGACCAAGTGGGGATCTCTAGGATCGGGCGGTTCTGGAGGACCAAGTGGGGATCTCTAAGATCGGGCCTTGCCCGACTGGGCCTTGCCCGACTGGGCCGCCCGCGGGAGGTTCTCCGCCCACGCCCACGACCTCTCCGGCGCGAAGGGCGAGGACCTCGGGGCGCGCTGCGTGGCCCTGGGGAAGCTGCTGGAGGGGCGCGACGGGCTCTCCGCGCCGCCGCTGCCGTCGCTGCCGCGGGATGGCGCGAGGGGCTGCTCTCTCGCCAGGCCTGCCGCCTGGGAGGCCGATCTTCCTGGACCGCCGAGCCCAGAGGCCGTGGACATGTGTGTGTAGATCTATGTATATTTATGTATGTATGTGTGTACGTATGTATATATATATATATATATATATATATGTGCTAAGGACGAGTTCTTCATGGCCCCCAGGAGCGGCAGGGCCGTTTTTTCATCGTTTCCGGAAAATTGCCCCTTGAAAGTAGAAACGGCAAAAAAACGGCGACTGGAAACGGCAACAAAAACGTCTCCAGGATTGGAACCAGAGCCGGAACCGGTCAAAAAACGGCGACGGAACCGGTAAAAAACGGCGTCGGAACCGTCAAAAAAAAGGCAAAACGGAACCGTAAAAAAACGGCCTTGTCGTTTCAAGGCCCACTAAGGACGAGCTCTGTTATGTTTGTTCGAGTCTTCCGTCGGCCTTTCTTCGGACGCGTTTCGACAAAGTTTGACTCGATTTGCCCTTGACCTCGGCTAGAACCAAAGCGCGCGCGAAGCGCGCGCGATGGTTCTAGTATATATATATATATATACATATATATATATATATATATTTATATCGTGGGTGGACAGAACCCCTAACAGTGACACGTCGATTAGTGCACTGTCCGTTTTCGGTTCTCGAGAGGGCGCCGTGGCCGTTATTTTCCAGGCTTGCGCCCGTCAGGTTTGGGCCTCAGGTCGTTTTCACTAAACCACGTTTTGCTAAAGGGGGGTCTGTCCATCCCGAATATATGTGTGTAAATATATATATATAAATATATATATATATATATATATATATATATATATATATATATTATCATACGCACCTCTCCGAGGGAGTAGAGCTCAGAGGGGATTAATGTGTACGCGCCGCGTCGTTCGCGATTTGTGTTGGCCGTTTCGCTGGGGACATCCTCGACATTCTGAAAATCGGTGGCACCCCTCACGCAGGTCGTGACGTCAGGGTCCAAACACATATGTGAATTTCAACATGCTAACATAAAACCTTCAAAAACACATTGTAATGTCAATGATTTTGACCCCGATTCTGAGAGAATGGCGGTTTCGCTTGAGACATCCTCCCAAAATCGAGCCCCGACGTACCTTCTGGTACCCCAGACCCTGCCTCGGAACCTCCTGGGGGCCTCCTGGAACCTCCTGGGGCCTCCTGGGGCTTTCTGTACCTTCTGGTGCCCCAGACCCCGCCTTGGAGCCTCCTGGGGGTCTCCTGGAATCTCCTGGGGCCTCCTGGGGCCTCCTGCGGCCTCCTGGAGCCTCTTGGGGCCTCCTGGGGCCTCCTGGGGCCTCAGAACTACATGCGCACAAAGAGATACAAATCACACCAACACATCACACGCTAGACAAACATAACACACACACACACACCTACAACGCACAGAAGACACGCACAACACAGAGCTCACATCACACACGCACACACCCACACAACACTCACAGTCCTGGGGCCTCCTGGAGCCTCTTCCGGTATCCAAGTCGGGCCTCCTGAGGCTTCCTGGGGGGCCCTGGTTCACACATCGCGAGGTGTGGCAACCCCATTTGCGCTCGAGTGCGACCTCGCTATTGCATTTCACCTCCAGCAGCTATCCTCCTCCTCTTCTCCTCCTTCTCTTTCCCTCCACAAATTGTCTAGTGAAACAAATCGGCTGGTGGGAATCGTGCTTACACTTCTCTTGTTAATCGCTTCGCTCACTCCGCCAGCCCATCTTGCATCACTTGTATGAGCCTGGGCACACACCAGCCACTTGTGTTTATATATGTATATATGTATATATGTATATATGTATGTATATATATATATATATATATATATATATGTATGGGGCTCCATGGAGCCTGGGTGTGTCCATAGATGGGGCGCTGGGAGGTTCCAGGACATGGTCCCAGCAGTGGATCTGGATATGAATATGGGTATTTCCATGGGGTCTACGCTCTGTCTGCTGGTTTGTGGCCTGCTCTGCTCAGGATGCAGCTCCTGGGAGGATCAGGTCAGCATTAGCGCTGGTATGCCGGTGGTCGAATACAGCCCTAATCTGGCACATTCCTGTTTAATCCTGATTGATCCCGTTCATTCTGGCGCATTCTGTTGCAACCATTTACGCAATCTTGGCCCATCCAGCTCAATGGCCCCTTCATCGGGCTTCTGGTCCCGCAGTCGGTCTTACGAAGCCTCTCCAAACGTTACCTTCTAACTCCGTACATCTCCATACCCGTCGCCTGGGAAACTGATTTTCCTGGACCGTGGGAGCCGGCGGACATGGATATACATATATATATATATATATATATATACATGTGTATATATATATAAACACATACATATATATAATCTACATATATATACACATATGTATATGTATAGGTGTTGGCTTATCTGGGGGCCAAATATTTGCTTATCCACCGAATTCCCAGGCTGTGGATACGGATGTGGATATTTCGACTGGGGCTTTGCGCTGCCTGCAGTTTGCTGGCTGGCGCTGCTTATGACGCAGCTCCTCGAATGTTCAATTCCGCTGGTATGTCCTTGTTCGCTGGTATGCCCGTAGTCGAAGGCCAGCTTATTTTTACAGACTCCAGCTCATTCCTGCTGATCCTATGGGTTCCGGCCAACTTGGGCCAATCCGGATCAATGGCCCCTTAATCGAGCTTACTCTCCCTCTGTCGTTCTTTTGAGGACCTCCAAGAAGTGGCCTCCTAACTCTCACCGCCCAGGAAGCCGATCTTCTTGGGCCTTGGGAGGCGGTTGACATGAGCATAAGTGGGCCTCCAAAACGAACAGATACATTACAGGCATACATTCGTACCCACACACATATCTGTATATGTATGTGTACACGTATACATACACATATGTATGATTAAATTTGTGCCGCCATACCATCCATAGCCATCTGCATGTATCCAACGTTGTCTGCCCTTGGCATCCCAGGACATGGGCTTCCCAGGAGGTCGATATGGGTACATCCCCGCCTCGCATGCCCTGCTCTGGATGCAACTCCTGAGGGTTTCAATTTGGCATCGGCACTGGAATATCCTTGTTCAAAGACGGGCCTAATCCAGCACACTCCCGCTGAATTCCGCCTGATCCTTGGCAACAGTCAACTCTGCCGTTTAACTCATCTTGCCTTCTCATCTTGCGCAAGTTGGGATCACCCATTGCGCAATTTGGGCGAATCTGGCCGAATGGCCCCTCAGTCGGGCCTGCTAGCCCTTGATTCGTCCTGCGTGGAGCGTGGGCCTCGCAGAAATTGCCTCCTGATTCGGCCGTGCCCTCCGTCGTTCCCGGCTGCCGCGCTGCCAGGGGAGCCAGGTCTACCGCGGGGGCACGAAGGTAGTCACCGTCTGCGGCCGTTGGCCCAAAAAGACAGCTGCCCTCCTCCGCGGCGGCCTCGCCGGAGAGCAAGGATGGGCGCGCCTGGCGCGGCGCGACCATGGGAGGGCAGATTGTGCTGTGCGCACGTTGCCCTGCAGGTGGCGCCGCATGCGAAAGGCAGGGTCTGGGCACCTCCGACCGCCGAGGCTCCGGAAGCAGAGGGCGGGCGGTTTGCTCGAGAAGTGTGGTACCCAGGGACACCCCCTGCGGAACAGAGTCTGCAGCGAGAACATCTGAATGATCAGCCGCCCCACGCCGGCAGTGTGATTGACTAATTTGTCATATGTCTCCCTTTCCGTTTCTCTCTCTCTCTCTCTCTCGTTCTCGTTTTTTCTTTCTCTCTGTCTCGCTCTCTCCTTCCCGATCGCAGTGTACAGTAGATGTGTGCATCGGAGGTGAGGGGGTGACATCGAAGTGGAACGGAGAGCCCCCCTACCGGGAAATCGATTTCGGTTTCGTGTTCGTGCGTGCCGTGCGTGCGGGCGAGGCGAAGCTGCGTGGGCGGGCGAGAGAAAGTCCCCTGTGGCTGAGGCGCGGCCGGACCAAATGATTCCCTTCCGGGCGGCCTGGGCCCCGAGGTGTCCCGCCGGTGTCCCGCTGGTGCCCCGTGTGGCTGAGGCGCGGCCGGACCAAATGTCTCCCTTCCGGGCGGCCGGGGCCCCGCGGTGTCCCGCCGGTGTCCCGTCGGTGTCCCGATGATGATGATGTTGATGATGATGGTGAGTTCGGTAGTGAGACCGAATGTGAGATCGATTGTGAGATCGTTTGTGATATCGATAGTGATAGCGATAGTGTGACCGATGGTGAAATCGATAGTGATAGCGATAGTGAGTTCGATAGTGAGATCGATAGTGAAACCGAATGTGAGATCGATTGTGATATCGAGTGTGATATCGATAGTGAGACTGAACAAGAGATCGATAATGACTTCGGTAGTGAGTTCGATAGTGAGATCGAGTGTGAGATCGGGTATGATATCGATAGTGAGATCGATATTGGGACCGAATGTGATACCGACTGTGAGATCGTTTGTGAGATCGATTGTGACATCGACTGAATGAAATCGATAGTGGTATTGATAGTGAGATCGATAGTTGTACCGAATGTGAGGTCGATTGTGAGATCGATTGTGATATCGATAGTGAGATCGATAGTGAGACCGAATGCGAGGTCGATAGTGAGATCGATAGTGAGATCGATTGTGAGATCGATCGCCAGATCGAATGTGAGATCGATCGAATGAGATCGATAATGGGATCGATAGTGAGATCGATAGTGAGATCGATCGAGTGCGACGGTGGTCCCTCCCCCCCCTCACCTCCTTATCATTCGGAGGGTGGTCTATGCGGTATAAGTGTATATATTCGTATGTGTGAGATTGTCTGGATTCCAATATTTCGTGATTGATGTCTCATTATTTATTTGTTTCTCTGTTTGTGTTTCGCTGTTCGTCGCACACCCCTATCGCGATCGTCATCGCACGGGTCGCGGGCAGGCGTTGGCAATCGTCAACCATTGCAAGCTCTCGTTCGCGTTGCCAGTCATGTTCTTCAGGCTACTCCTACACGGAGCGCTCCGGGTGCAAGTGCCCATGCGTTGTCGCATTTGGCTTTACCCTTTGTTGCGATTAGTGTGTCTCTTTGCCTTGTGGGTCAAGCTTACAGTCAACCCGCGCATTAAGAATGGGCAACCTTCTCAAGGAAACCCTTGCATCCTTGCCTCCGCGGTCCATCCTTGGCTACTTTCGTTGGCTGCGCCCTGCCTGTAAAGCTTCGCAATGGGCATCCAAGGCCCTTGCATCCTTATCGCGCATCCTTACTATACTGGATGACTGTATTCGCTTTGAGTCATTGGTTACGTTTTGAGCCTTGCGGTCATCCGGGCTGGACAACCTGGGGTTTTCCGGGTTGTTGCCCCAACATGCGGTATAGCTTAGATCTCAGCGTGCCGCGCAGAGGGGCAGTATTCAGGAGGGGAAAACAACACACAGACACAATGAATCGCCGATTCCCAGGAACATATGGGAACATGGGAAGTGGGGGGGGGGAGACAAACACTCAGAACATATGCGAGACAAATGGGAATATTGTTATTTGTATGTCTTTACTTGTGTGTCCCAGGGCCCCTGATGTATGTTCCAGGACGAGGTACATCATTCTCCCTTGGCGCACTGGCGACTACTGCCAGGTGTGATCGCAGCAGAGGCATGCGCCCGTGATGGCAGAGGCGGCAACGATTCCGCGGATGACGGCGACCAACGTTACCGCTTATGCTTTTTGTTGGTGATGACGACGTTGATGGATGCTGACCCAGGGCGGTTTTGATCCGTTGGCGACGCGCACAGAAGAAACACAGCGGCGGAAATCGTTCCCAATGGCGCAAGCAAACCTTCGATGCTGAGGCGGCTCTCCAAAGCCAAAGCCGTGACGATCACAGGCGCTGGCAGGCTGGATCGCAGGACCGTCTTGATTCCAGAGGCGATGGCCCCCAACGGGCCTTTCAACTCGCTTCCTCTTGAGCGGCCGACGACGCCCAGCAAGGCAGTGATTAATCACGCAGCTGGCCATGAGACAAAGAGCTGCATTTCCCGCATGCCACAACGGATGCGCTTCTGGCCGGGAGGGGCGCAGCCGCTAGAAAATACCCTCGAGGCCAACAACACCCGAGTGCTATCGAACGGTCGCCTTGCGGAAGAAGGCCGTGCACAGCTTTACCAAATGTCGCGCGCCATAGGTCCGCAGCCTTTTCGGTTCAAGGCTCAAATTTACACCGTTAAGGTTGGTCTTTGGTCTCAACCGACAGGGGGGGCCAAAGGTCTGGGAACGAGGAACCTACTATTTTGGCTTGTGTTGTACCATCGGATTCGGCACACAAATCCTCAGTATACAGTCGTGGGCGATGCGGTTCCTGCCTGATTCGTGGCCTTCGTCACGGGCCACTGTGTGACTCTTTCACAATGCGTGGAGGAGACAAGCAACTCGTTAACCAACCAGGTGCAGCGGATCGATGGACGGATGGCGACGTTTGGGGTCACGGCTCTGGAGCCTCAAGCAAAGCAAGCAGAGTCCGAGGAACATTTGCTGAATATGAGGCGGGCTGAAGCAGTGGCGTCGTCGACGGCTTCGACTTCACTGGGCATCACGAGGATGCGTGTGGCTGGCACGCTTGGATCCGAGGACTGCAAATATAACCAGGTCGTCGTTGGATGTCAGGATACATTCGTGCTGTTCTTAAAGGTGGCGAAGCGCTCGGCACGGTACACCCTTCGGGGCAAATGTCTGTTTCATATGCCCGTCGGGATCACCACAAAGTTCGCGAAGACCAGCCAGAGCTTTTTAGTCCACTTCTCGTCCTCGGAGCTAGTCATGGAGTTTATGAATGGGTTTGTTGCCCAGGGCTTGCAGTGAAACGACACCAGAGATCAGAAGGTTTACAACTTGCGTGTGCGAGATGACCTGCCTGATGATGCCCGTTTGCGCCAGAGGCTCATATCAAAGCATCGGGCCCCTGTGATGCAGCACCTTCGGGACAACGACAAGCTCGATGAAAGCATGCAAGTTGGGGCCAATGGTTCTCGCAGTGAGTTGTTAATTTGGACGGAGGCCGGCCATCCCGTGCTTGCCAATGGCGAACGAGTCGGACCTCCGCTTCTAGGAGATCTCGGTCGACACGATGAAGTCCTGGAATGAGAACTGCACCTGCCGCAGTTGAACGGGTCTCCCACCAGTTACACCGACGCGCTGTCGCTCGGGGTCTAGCGTCTGGCGAGGGCTGTTCTGGACCAAGTGAGTTGCGCGATGATCGGGGTCTCACGCAACCATAGAGACTCATACTGAATTTGACATCGTTTTCGGACAGCAGGTCTGCGTCAACATCTTTGAGATCATCTGAGTCCTCTTCTAGTGATAAGCTCGTGTGCAGATCAGCTCCCCCCGCCTCTGCGTCTCGCCCTTCTCCTTTGTTGGCGGAGTTTCCGCCGGCGGTGCCGGGCCGCTTCGTTTTTGGCCCCCTGGATTTGCGGTGCGCCGGCGACCGATTCCCACCGACCCTCTCTCAGTGCAGTTGCGCGGAATGCTCGCGGCACACATGCTGAAGCACGCATGCAAAGGCGCGTGCTCGAAGGCAACGAAATGCAGCCGACTGGTTCCGCGCCTTAAAAGACCTCTGTCAGAAATGCTAGGTCGCGCGTGCGCAGGAAACGCATGGAACAAGGGCTGATGCCGCGATGCTCCAGAATGACGTCTGCGAGTCCAGCGCGGATGGCACCGTGGTTGCGGACCTTGTTTGTGATGGGTCGGCGGCGACCTACGTCGCGCCTGATGTCGCTCGCCGGTTTGACCGCGTCTCTCATCATGTGATTCAAGAGGGCCGCATGCTGCTCAGTCTTCTGCAAGGGAGGAAGTGGCATCTGGCCCTTGTGAACGTGCGCATGCCCAACGCATGTGAATAGCTACAAACGTACGAAGTCCCGTTGGGCGACATCTTTGAAGCGCTTCCCCCGCGGACCAGCGTTTCCCCGCCGTTCGCAGGGGCTGGAATTTCACCGTCGAGGATGGAGGCCGCGCGCGTCCTGATAGTGGGTGGTCGCACTGACGAGCTCAGCAGGATCACCTTGTCTGTCGCGCGCTAGCCTCTCACCCGCCGCTGCAGCAGTTCTTTGATATCGAGGCCCTAGTTTTTACTGAGCTGCAAGGGCTTCGTCGGCGCACGCAGGACGTTGACGCGCGCATTCTGACTGAGCAGGAGGGGGACATGTGGTTATTAAGCGGCATTGTCACGCGGAGGCGAATGCCAATGCTCTGAGGAAGCTTCGTCGTAAGCGAGAGCTTTGGGTGGGGGAGTTGAAGTGTCGGACCTGCAAGTCCGCTGTTCTTGACGAGCATGGCCGCCCGTGCGATTCGGTGGAAGCGCCCGCCACTTGCCTGACGCACTATTGGGGTCGGATTGGTTCAACGGTTTCTGAGAATCGCATTTGCTTGAACAGTACTCTTGCCCATGCTCGGGCAGATCTTGCGGGCCAAGATGAGTATGTTTCGACTTCGTGGGAAGCTGACAACGGGGATGTCTACCGAATTGTTCGTGCCTGTCGCAACTCGACGCCGGGTCCAGACGGCGCCCCGCGCTCCTGCTGGCGCGCCGGGAATGCGCCAATATATTCAGGATGCAGGTTCCACTGCGTGACTGCGCGTGGCAATATGTAGACTCTGCCGTCGGACATGGGGGAAGCATTTATGGCGTTTGTGCCCGAAGGGGAACGGGGTGGGAGCGCAGTGGGGAATGTTGTGCGTGATTGCTGGTGCACTCGCCCTCTGTCTATGGCCAGCTCTGGTGTCGAGCTGCTCTCCGGCCTGCGCTGCCTGCCTCTCAATCGCTGTCGCCGCGTTGCAGAAGTGCGTTAAATGCGGCAAGTGCTGGCGAATGTCGCGCAAGCCGAGGTGTAGGGATCACAGCGACATATGTTGGAAATGAATGATACCGGAGAAAAACCCAATCAGGGCTATAGGTCTAGGGGCTATAGGGCTAGAGGGCTATTGTTGAGCTACAGGGCTATAGAGCTAGAGGGCTACAGAGTTGTAGGGCCATTGGGCTATAGGGCTATCGGGCACCCCCGGGCACGCCCGGGCACCCGGGAACCCGGGCACCCACCCGGGCACCCGGCCACCCCTGGGCGCCCCCCGGGCACCCGGGCCCCGGGCACCCCCGGGCGCCCAGGCACCCGGGCGCGCAGCGAAAATCGGCGGCAAACCGAACGTAACCATATGAATCCGCTAGGACCCCTACAGACGCAAGCTCTGGTTAGAATGCGCCGCCGTCCTTTCGACAAATTTTGCCGCCGCCTTCCCGCCCATTCTCCGTGCGCGGCTGGGCGCGGTGCTCTCTGCGATGCAGACCCCGCTGCGCCTTCAGAATTTCAACGCGCGCGCTGCGTTGAAATGCACGCGGTGTTCTCACGTTGGCGGGGGAGAGGTTTGATGGCGTCGGTCTCAGCAAGGGAGTTCGCCAAGGTGACCCGAGCCCGATGGCGCCAGTCTGTTTCTGTCTCGATCTTGTTGCCCGCTGGATGCAGGATCCGCCCCCGCGGCGGCGCTCGCTTTGCCGTGCCAATGCTGATGACTGTTTGTTCGGAGTGGTGGATGTTCTCGCTCCTCGCCGAGAATTTGGCGCGTGCTTCATCTCCTGGATGGGGCCATTCTTCGTCTAGCGCTCAAATTGACCACCTGTCGCCTACTCATGCGCGGAAGGATTGACTGGGGAAGGTCTCCGCAACGCATCGTTCATGAGCAGGGGGGGGCTTTGAGTTGACCAGGATTGGCTATGCCATGGAATACCCGGGGCTTTATTGGCCCAGGGGTTCCTGGCATGTCGTGGGCTGCGCCTCTAGAGAAGTTTGTAGCCCTACTCGCAACTTCGTCAACTCTCGCCTGGATCTGCCACCGTTGTTGCCACTCTCAAGATCACGCGCCTCAGCGCGCTGCGATTTGCAATGCAGGTTGAGCCCCTTTCGTCGAGGGCTATTAAAAGTGACAAACATATGCTCCAGCGTTCGACTGGCGGCCCGTCTCATGCGCTCTCTGAGAACATGCTCACGTCGATGGCCAAGCTCGGCTTCCTGATCGAAGCCCCCCAAATTATTGCGCTCTCCGTTGCCCGCCGCGTCTGTTTTGCCGTGGAAAGTATTGGGTTAGAGCATGCTGGGCCGAGTGCGAACGCGTTTTCGATAGCGATGCATTGTGCTACGCGCGCGCTGTTTATCCGCAAGGCTGGTGCCAGCGTTCGTTCCGGCCAGGCGTGTTTCGTGCTGCTCAGATGGCGCGAGGGTGTGTTCGACATTGTTGTGCTAGCCTGGCGACGACTGGGCATCTCTTGGCTGTGCCGACAACTTTCGGCCCCTTGGGGCCGCGCCTGACATTTTTTCGATCATGACAGACAATTGTTTGGTTTTTCCATCAGGGCACGGGCGGTCCGCGCCGCTCGAATGATCAATGTGGCGTACAAACGCCGAGGACACCGCGCCGCACCCAGGCCACGCGCACGGCCGGGACATATCCAGAGCCTCGCGGAATTTTGGTTGCAAGGCGCTGGGTGCCCAGATCAGATTGTATAATTGTGCGTCCGTGTGAATCTCCGTGCGCATCGATGGAGTTCGGCGTTCTTCCTTCAAGCAAAAGATTATTCTGTGCTTCCACAGATCCCCTCTGGCAAGACGGCCACGCTTGCTGCAGACACTGGTAGAGAGCGCTATGTCCTGGCGTTCGGGAAGTTGTGCACTCGCGCAAGCCCGGCAATCTCAGCTACGAGTCGCTCAACAGTCCATGGTGCGCAGAACTTCGGGGCTCAAAAGATGGCCTGCTCTCCGGGGCGAGGAGAAGGGCGCCGATGGCTCTGTCCAGTGCGAATATCGAGAAATGGGGTGCCAGCCGCCGTCGCGCAGCATTCAAGTGCGCAGGAAAGTTGTAGAGAGTTAGCAATACAGACCCGAACTGGTTGAGCTACCAAAGATTGGGCTCGGTTGTAGAAAATCATGGCTGCCCACGATGGCAACCAACTATCCTGCCAGAAGCTTCGCACTTGGAGGTGGGAGGCACAAGTGCACGAGCTGTTTGAGACTACCGGCGAGCCCGAAGAGAAGCTTCACACATCACGATGTATTGAATAAGGGGTAGACGCAGTGCTCTCTCCGCGGTCGACGGACCGATTTTGCCGCATTGGTCATTGGTCATCGGTTATTGGTTCGACATGTCCAGAGACTTTGACGACCTTCGTCGTTCTATGTTTAGCCGCCGCTTTCGCGAAATGAGCGCTTTCGTAGATGGATGGGCTCGCAGTTCCCAACCGCTCCAGTGATGATCCCGTGGATTTCAACCATGCTTTGTCTTAGTCTCATCTCCCTGGCATTTCGTTGCTGTGCGCGTGCATGCGCGGCGCCTTCCTGCGCGCCCACCACTTTTCCAGTCTTCGCATCCCTCCTTACGTGGACCAGGTCTTGGAAGCGCGGCTCCGAGTGCTCGCTCGGCGCTTTCCTGCGGTCGCTTCGGCTTTGGAGCTTGTCGGGCGCGGGCCTGGCTGGCTCGTGACATTGAGCGGTTGAACGGTTCGCGATTTTGTATTGGTTCACTCGCCATAAGTTGTTTTCCGCTGTTCGGCACTCGAGCTCGCGGGTGGTTGCCGCGGGAGCGTGGCCCCCCATGGCCACCGCCCGAGTCTCCGCGCAGGTATCCCTTGAGTGGCCAAAGAAACCCACGGCCTGGAAGCCCCCTGCGGGGGGCAAAAATGCCCCGCGCAATACGCCTGAACGATGCCAGATTACGAACTCCTGGTCGATGTCTGTCCTCGTCACTGTTGCTATTGATCCGCATTGATTAGGGCAGACTCTCAAGCGCCCCCCCCCCCCCCCCATGCGTCCCCACAGCGCCCCTGTCGAATCCATAGTTGTTGACGTCATGGTGTCCCAACGTCTTGCGTTTCACAATGCTACCAGGAGCCCCAGTCGCGTGCATGGCCAATTCCTTCTTGAGCCGCAGCCGCTTCAAGGATATAGTAGCACGTTTATTTCATTTCGCACCCCAGTTGCCTGCAATCCCGCTGTTGCGGATGTCAGAACATGCTGAAGCACCGTCATAACATTCTGGCTAGGGCCCGCCACAGACCACACAGTGCATATGTTGCTCACACAAGTCTGCCTGCGGCTTGAATCGCGACGTGAATGTGTGCATCAACGACTCCGCGTTGCAGAATCCGACGTGTTTCTTGGGCTGCGTTAGTCAGCGACATCATATCCAAGATCTGTTGAATATTGCATATTGTAAGGGTTCTCTGTGCATGAGGTGTTGCAAACTCTTGTGCGCCACCGCGCACGAGCATCAGATCGAAATGCCTGGTGAGGCACCACTATTGTGGAACATCTCATTGGCTGCATATTAGTAACTGTATGGGCCATCCATTGTGTGTTTCCCAATGTCTGCTGTAAAACCGCCGATGCTTGAGTTTGCTCATTTTTTTTGCGTTTGTTTCGAGGGCGTCAAGTTTGCCTTCGATGCGTTGCGCGATTGTGCTCCGCGTGCGCCTGTGTGAAGAGCCTGATTGACTACTTGCATTTCGACCGCCGCGTGCAGCCACACTTTGAAATAGTGCCATCTTACCATTGAAATAGTGCCATCTTACCACTGCTGCCGACCAGTGGCGCGCCACACGAAAACCGGACCTCCTGCGAATCCAGCTTGGTCGTGGTGTCGTCCGTCGAGCCAGGCTGAGCCTTCATCCAGTGCGTACACATAATTGATCGGAGGTGCGTGCAGACCTCCGACAGCCTATGTATAGTAATCTGTCTACTTGGAAGGACGGCCTGGCGGGGGGCGAAATTTGAATTGGATTCACCCATTTGGGTGATCACCGTCTGTGCCCGGGCAGGGACGACGAGGCCTCTCAGGGCCCACCGACAGGGCGCCCTTTTCAAAACAGTACCGCCCTTCGGCCAGCTCTGCCCCGGCCGACGGAGCCGATCGCCTCGCCTGGACTTGCGCCCTTTCAGAACAGGGCCCGCCTGCCGAAAGACTCGGCCTCTTCACTGCTACAGAGGCCGAAAACAAACACATCCGATTTGATCCCGATCCGATGTGCCACGGGATGTTTCGAGAAAAACACAGCTTCTGGCCGGGGACTACATCCTGGCCCTTGGGTGGCAACTCCAAATTGTTTCGAACAACGGGGACGCACGGCCGCGCCCACATCCACCAGAGGGAAGAGAGTTGGGTGGTTGTGAGTCCGCAGCCTCTCAGGGATCGGAGAGGAGGAAGGGAGGGAGGCAGGAAGGGAGGCAGGAGGGGGCGGAGGAGGAGGAAGAGGAGGAGAATGAGGAGGGGCAGGAGGAGGATGGAGGATGGAGAAAGAGGAGGGGGAGGAGGAGATACATGAGGAGGGTGGATGAGGATGAGGAGGAGGGGGAGGAGGAGGAGGAGGAGGAGGAGGAGGATGGAGAGGAGGAGGAGAGGAGGAGGAGGAGGAGGAGAGGAGGAGGAGGAGGAGGGGAGGCCCACGCCCGGGGCCTCTCCAGTGGCCCTCGGGCAACCGTTGCTGGAGGCCCTGCTCCCTCCCGCCCCCCCCCCCCCCCCCCTTCACCCTGCACCTTCTCCATGTTGTCCCGAGGGGTCCGCGAGAGACTCTCTCCGGGACACGCGGCGTGCGACGCCAGGGCGGGCCAGAGCGGCGGCGGCGCCGCGGCGGTGGCGGCGGGGCCCAGGAGTCACGCCCGGGTTGCCCTCGTTGGCCCCCGAGTTCACGGCGAGCCTGGAGGACCTTGGGAGGAGGGGGGGGAGACGATGGTCAGGACCGCGGGGGGGGAGGAGGCAGGGGAGAGGGAGGACGAGGAGGGCGAGGAGAAGGAATGTCAGAAGACCAGTGCAGCGGCGAGGAGGAGGGGGGGGAGAATAGCCAGGTTCCTGCGGCAAGGCCCACCACCGTGCCGGCCTCGCAGTTTGAGTAGCATGACCGATGGGGCTCTGGAGGGCCCTTGTGCGGATGATGAGGTTGTGGGGGTTGTTGTAGTTGTTGATGGTGATGTGGTGGTAATGATGATGATGGTGATGGTGGTGATGACGATGGTGGTGATGATGGTAAGGATGCTGATGATGATGATGTTATGGAGATATTGAGGACACTGATGCTGATGATGATGCTGCTGATGTTTACGATGCTGATGGTGATGGCGATGCTGATGTTGAATGTGATGGCGATGGTGATGATGGTATTGATGATTTGTTGCTAAAGATTCTGACGCTGATGCTCATGCTGATGCTGCTGATGATGAGGATGCTGGTGCTGATGACGATGAATATGGTGGTGGTAATGATGATGTTGATGGTGACGGTGGTGATGATGACATTGATGACGGTGATGATGGTGTTGCTGCTGGTGCTGGTGCTGATGCGGATGCTGAGTCTCAGACTGAAGCTGGGCCTGATGGTGATGTTGTTATTGCAGATGGTGGTGCTGGTGAGGAGGAGGAGGACGAGGAGGAGGAGGAGGAGGAGGAGGAGGAGTATGACGAGCAGGACATCGAAAGCCGTCATACGCTCCACCTTCAGTCGCCACTGTTTGAGGAGAACTTGCGGAACTCGCTTCGGCCCTTTTGGGATTGCCTTGGCCTCATGTGGGGCAGTCTTGGGGGTCCATCTTGGGCCGCCTCAGAGTCCTGCTGCCCCGTCTTAGGGCTCTCTCGGGCCATGTTGTGGCCATCTTTGCCGTGTGGTGGGTGTCTTGGGGGGCGCCGTGGTGCCGTCTTGTCGCCGTCTTGGGCCGTTGAAGGCTTTTCCGAGGCCGGCTTGGGTCCCACGGGAGGCACTCTTGGGCCGTGTTGGGACCGTCTTGAATGCCTCTGGGGCCATTGTGAGGTCCTCTTCGGCCACATGGGCCATCGTGTAGTCTTTCTGGACACTACGCAGTTGGTAGGCGCCTGTAAAAACGAGAATGCGAACATGATTTTCAAAACCTAAGAGGAGCCAGTGATGATGGCGTACTCGGGCTCTGTTGGAGGTCCTGTTGTTGCCCTGTTGGGCCCTCTTGGAGCCATCAGGGGCCGTCATCGGCCGCCTTGGGGCCGTCTTTGGCCATCTCTGGACATCGTTGTGTCCTCAGTTGCTCGCGGACGGCGGCGCGGACAGCGCGCCGCGGGCGAGGCGCCCGAGAGGCCCGCAGGCAACGCCCCCCGCAGAGGCGGCGGTGGCGGCGCTCAAGGCGGACGGCTGGGGCTTCGCGGCCGAGGGGGTCGCGGCCTTTGTAGGCCCCGGAAACCCGGAAACGGTAGGGCCGTTTTTTCACCGTTTCCAGAAAAATGTCCCTTGAACATGGAAACGGCAAAAAAAAACAGCGACCGGAAAGGCCCAAAAAACGGCTCCAGGATTGGAACGGGAGCCGGAACCGGTCCAACAACGGCGACGTAACCGGTAAAAGAATCGGTGTCGGAACCGGCAAAAAAACAGCAAAACGGAACCGGTAAAGAAACGGCGTGTCGTTTCCAGGGCCGGCGATGGTCCTAATTTGCCCAGGTGGTGGCCGCCGGTTTTCTCCGACGGAGAGGCCGCCGGCGCTTCTTTTAGACGCCGGCGAGCACCCCATCGAGCGCGAGTGCGACGGGCTCGGTGGGGCGCAGCTCGTAGGCCAGCGGGATCGGCTGGCGCGCTGGGCGCCCCTGCCCCAGCCTCTCCGAGGGGCAGGGCAGGGTCTGCTGGGCTGGGGGGCCAGGAGCAGGCGGAAGGACGCCGCCGCCGTCGCGACCCCGCCACGGGCGCGCGGCTGGGAACCCTTGGCAGAGCCGGGGAAGCGGCGGTTCTGGGTTGACTTGGAGGTTAGGAGGCCGCCAGGCTCAACGCCCCGCCGGCGGCGGCCCTGCCAGCGGGGGGCGCGCGGGCCGCGGCCGCGACTGGGGCCGCCTCAGGCGCCGCGGCGGCGGCAGCGCGCGCGGCGGCGGCGGTGGCCCTCGCGCCGCTGAGGACGCTCAGGCGGAGGCCTCGGCTGCGGCCGCGGACGCGGCAGCCGCAGAGGCGGCCAAGGCGCTGCGCGCAGAGGTGCGCACCATCCTCCAGCGCGGCTGGGTCCCCGTCCGGGTCGCCGCGCGCCACCTCGACGCGCCCGAGGGCCGGCGCCCGCCCAGGGCCCGCGGCCGGGCGGTGCGGCACGTGGCGCGCTGGGCTGCGCCACAGCTCGGGCTCTCCGAGCTGCTGGGCGCCGCGGGCTGGCCGCGCCGGGAGCGGCGCCCGTTTGCGCGCGGCCGCAGCCGGCTGGGGCCAGGTGGTCCGGGCGCTGGCCGGCGCGCCTCCTTTGCCCTCCCCCTCTCTCTCTCTTCCTTCCCCCTCCCCACCCCGCGCGCTTGTCGCTCGTCTGTCGTCCGTCGTGTTCGTCGTCGTGTCGCGTCGCCCTCCTGCTGTCTGCCAGTGGACTCCCATACGCTTGGTAAAAACATATCCCCGGTTGCTTATCCATGTATAGAGCCGAAGACCCGGGACCCGGGACCGGCGCGGTATCGTCCAGTACGGTATCGTGCGGTGCAGAAGCCGCGGCCGGCACGGTATCGTTTGGTACTGTGGTTGTGATCCGCGCGGTATCGTCCAGTACGATAGCGGGGGCCGGTGCGGTATCGCTACGGCCGGTTGGCGCGGTACGGTGCGAACCGGTACCGCTTGACTGGGATCCAGCACGGTAGCGGCCATTGAGTTATACGGGCCATCTTGGAAGCTCTGGGCGCGGATCCATGGCCTTCGCCAACTTAGCGTGTCACCGGGGGGGCGAGTGAAACGCGCAGCCTTCTGGGAGGCGAACGTTGGCGCAAGGATGAAGGGGAGGACGTGGAGGGGACGGACGATGCTTAGGAGGAGGAGCAGGAAGACGACGACAACGGTAATAGAGTAGAGAAAATGAGGGGGTAGGCGGACGAGGATTAGAGCTTGGAGTGGACACGTGGAACAGCAAACAAGAACGGGAGGAGGAGGAGGAGGAGGAGGAGTAGGAGGAGAAGGAGGAGGGAAAGAGGAGGAGGGCGTGCAGCTGAGGGGAATGAGACTTGGGAGCAACAGGAGGGAGGCTGGATGGGGGCGGAGGAGGAGAGGGTGTCACGGCGTGCGTGGAGGACCTCAGGGGGTTCGACGACCCATTGCACAGGTCTTTGAAGAAGAGCTTGAAGATGAAGGCCTGGCCGGGGTTTCTGGCCCACTCATCTCAATCCTCCCTGCTGTCCCTCGTTCCTTCAGTTCGCATCTCTCCTTTTTCATCAGACAGACCAAGGCAAAATATAACTCGCTCCAGAACGCTCCAGAACGCTTTCGGGAGTTTCCAGGGTGCTCTGGGCCGTCGTCGGTAAACGTTACATGTTCCAGGCCTGCTTGCCTTCAGGGATTCATGATAGATCGTGTCCGAGTCATCGGGTTGTCATATTCCGTTCAACTCCAGGCTCCAGGGGTCTTCATATTCCGTTTCGCCTTGATTCCGTCGGTTTCATGTCCCTCGTTTTTTTAATGAACCCCATTCCGTTCCTCCTTGCCTCCCCCGCTCCTGCTCCTGCCTGTCTTCACTCTCTTCTCTTCCCCTCTCTTTTTATATCTTCTCTTATCCTCCTCCCCCGCATCCTCCTCATCCTCCTCGTCCTCCTCCTCGACATCCCAACTACAGTTCCCAAGTCTCCCTACGCCCCTTCTCGTCCCTCCTTCTCTTCCTGCGCGATCAATATCTTTCGCATATCATCTGTCGCACTTGTTTTTTGTTGTTGTTGGTATTTTGCTGTTGCTGGTGGGCATCGGTGGGGGCGAGGACTAGCCGATAGCTGGTCCTGCGGTCACATGCTTTCTCACCAGAGAGATTTGGAAGTTACGGGGTTCCCCAGGCACGCCGGATTGCATTCTGTCCCTCTTCAGTCTCCTCTTCCTCCTCGATCTAGCCTTCCATTCCTCCCCCTTTTCCTGCTCCATCCGCTGTTCCTGGGTGGAGGAGGTTGTGGCCGAAGGGGTTGAGGAGGCAGAATGACGGAGAGGAGGTCCTCCTCCCTTGTTAGCTCTTCCGTTATCCGCCGATTGCCCCTTCCTTCTCTGCTCCTGAGTTTCTTCTTTCTGTCCTCATTGGCATCTTCCCTCTTCTTCCTCCTCTGCCTCCTCCCTCTCAGATGTCCTCTCTCCCGAGCTTCCCTTTCGTGCCATCCCTCTGTTCTTACTCCCTCCCTCTCCTCATCCGTTCCCTGCTCCCTCTCTCATCTCTCCTCACTTCCGTCGTCTCATATCCCCCTTCCTCCCTTTCGTCATACTTATTATTTTTCCTTGCCCCCCTCACTCTCTCACTCTTCTCCCGCCTCTCTCCCTCCAACGTTCCCTCCCGCAACTCGCTATCCCTGATAGTTCGTGTTGTGATGATGCGATTCGGACTCTGGTTATTCCGGCAGTGAGTCACTGCGACATGGTAGACCTCTTTCTAGAGTGTTTTTCTAGTTTCCCCCTTCATTCCTCAACGGTGCCATCCAGGCTTCGATGTTCAAGCAGCTGAAGGAGGTGGAGGGCTTGCCAGCCCACTTCAGCCCAGAGGAGTACGTTGCACTTCAGGTGGCAGACACGCTCATGCCCCAGGCCATGCACGAGGCGCATGCGCATGTGGGTGAGTGTGCGGAAAGCATGGACAAGTCGTAGATAGGACGTGAGGCGAAGCGATCTTGGCTCGGTTGATCGCACCGTACATTCGTGGTTACGGCCTCTCTCTCTCTCTCTCTCTTCGTGTAGCCGCCCTGATGATATATTACGCCCATGTCGTGTCACCACATGAACTTCTAAGTATGTAGGCGTGTGTCCGCAGTTGCCCATGAATGAGCGTGCATGATGGAGGGTGGAGGAGAGAGGGGGGGGGAACGCAGGCAGAGTTGGAAGGGAGAGTATGTTTTACGGTTCGGGTGAGGGCTGGAATAGTTTCGAGACCTTTGGGGGTCGAGGCACGTGGCAGCAGATGAGGGACTTGCCGGCCAATTCTCCCTCAGATCGCACAGCTCGGAGACTGGTCTTCCTACGCTTTCCAGCGTCCCTCACCCCTTCTGCCTTCCTCTTCTTCCCTGGAGTCGAGTCCTCAGAGCAGCTGTGCGGCCGAGACGGCCACCGGGTGAGTGGTGCAGGAGTCTTCGCAGAGCCAGCACGCCCACGCCAGAGGTTTGCACGCTCCGGAGGCCGCATGACGTTCCCTGCCTGTGCGGTCTCGTAGTACCTCCTCGTCGCCGTCGCACCCTCGAGCACGTGCGGCAGGAGTCTCGGGGCGGACGAAAGGGGGGGGATTGGGAAAGGGGGGGTTACGAAATTTGCTGCATGCAGCTGGTTTCGGCCTCGCCGAGGGGCCCGTTCGTCGATGCACGGCTCCATCCGGCGCCGGGAGGCGCCGGGAAAATCAGCTACGTGAGCTGATTCTCAACCCCCCCTTTGCTATCCCCCCCTTTCGCCCGACCCGAGAGTCTCCGCGCTAGCAGCGGATCTTGACTGTTTCGATTCGCCAACCCTCCTTCCCCCCTCTATGCTATCGTCCCTGTTCCTTCTTGATCCCTCCCTTCTTGCTCCTCCCCTGGCCTCAGACGGGCAGGAGGGGGAGGAGAAAAGGAACGCAGCAGCTTTTTTTGAGTCCAGGTTTTCAACACTGGGGTGGAGTAGATTGGGTCGGGGGATCGCATCGCGCCGCTGATGAAACGGAGATGGGACGCGATCCGGATCCGATTTATGCATCGGCACTCCGAAGCGATCTTCCGTTCCCGTTTCTGCTCCAGTTCCAGTTGGGAGGCCGCCTCTGAGGAGGCTGGGCTAGACCGCAGCTCCTCCTCCTCCTCCCCTTCCCCTCCCCCCTCCCGCAGATCCTCCCCTCCCCCTTCCCTTCCCCTCCCCCTCCCCCTCCCCTTCCCCTCCCCCCTCCCGCAGATCCTCCCCTCCCCTTCCCCTTCCCCTCCCCTCCCCCTCCCCTTCCCCCCCCCCCTCCCGCAGATCCTCCCCTCCCCTTCCCCTTCCCCCTCCCCCTCCCCCCCCTTCCCCTCCCCGGCTTCTCCTCCTTCCCCTTCCCCTTCCCCTCCCTTCCCCTTCCCCCCCCCCTTCCCCCCCTTCCCCTTCTCCTTCCCCTTCCCTTCCCCTTCCCCTTCCCCTTCCCCTTCCCTTCCCCTTCCCCTTCCCCCCCGGCTTCTCCTCCTCCCCTTCCCTCCCCTCCCCCTCCCCTTCCCCTCCCCTTCCCCCCCCTCCGGCAGATCCGGCGCGGATTCTTCGGCATGGCCGACGCGGAGCGGCTCCGCGGGGTGAGCGCCGAGGCGCGAGACGGCGCCGCGGCCGGGCGCAGTGGTTCGCAGCAGAGTGCGCGGGGGAGGTCCGGGCACGTCGCGCAGCGGATCGGATCGAAGACATCTGTTTATGATGCCTCTGATGACGAACGAACAACACACACACACACCTTTACCCATAGGGGCGGTCGTTGGGAGGAGGACTCGCTGTGAGTATGGGTGCGGGTTGTCGGGCCCTGGGGAACGCTCCCGTTCGAGCGGGGACCCCAACAACACGTACCCATAGCCCTCTCCGACCCCCTATGGGTATGGGTGTGTGTTGTTGGATCGTCATCTGATATCGGATGGCTGGCGGCGCTTCAAAGTCTCCGGTGTCTCAAATGTCTCTGATGTCTCATATGGCTAATATGGCTCATCTGTCTCTGGAGGCTGATGTCTCACGTGTCTCTGGTGTCGGTCTGGGTCTGGGTGGGGAGACATGTGTCTCATGTGTCTCATATGTCTCAGAGTCTGGAGGCTGATGTCTCATATGTCTCTGATGTCGCTCTGGCGTGCTCCAAAGTTTCTGATGTCGGAGGCCCGGAGCTGGTCACCCGAACCCGTGTCGGCGGTTGCCTCCACTGACGGAAGATGATCCTGATCTCGGTGGTGGCGGTAGCACGCGGGCCTCATGGGAGACCGAGAGGCTCACCACTAGCACCGAAAAAGTCCGGGAGCATTCTCCCGTCACCACCATCATAGGCAAATCATGTGCTAGCGTTGGTGCAAATCTCCAGGCCCCCAAGAATGGTCTCGGACCTCAGGAGCCATGCCAGCAGCTGAGAGCCTTCGAGGGAGGCCGAGATCGTCGCCCGAGGCAGGAAAGATGGCCCGACTGTCCTCTGCCACGGCAAGACGAGCGGCACCCACTTTTTCCCGAGTCGGGGACTCGACGAGGCATGTTGCGGGCCCTGGTGGCATCCGTGAACACGGTCTGGGAGGAGTAGTCAGCGATTCTTGGGAGGGGGTTGCGAGCTCCAGGGGGCCGCCGTCCAGGAAGAGTCGTGGTCCCGGAGGTCTGGGGGACTCCGCTCGTTGGTTCGGATGCACGGGGAGAGCAGCACGAGCATCCGAGCGTGTTTTTTACGATCACTTGCGTGTCGGCTTTGGTTTCACCAGCGGGCTCGTAGCGCCAGCGGATTGAAATCGCATGCGCGGTATTTGTGGATAGGCGACGGTCACAACAACCCACACCGTGCCTCTCCCTGTAGTATCTTGCGCCAGCGCGCCTCGCCTTGGGTTGGCTTACTTTGGGCTGACGTGGTGCAAATGAGCCCAGCGTAGCATCCTATCGCATAACATGTGTTAGTTCCAGCGCTTATGGTTGCGTATATGTTTTGTCGAGATGGCTCCGCCAAACATTATCGGCGCTGAGTCCAGCATGCCTCATCAATCTTGAGATCAAGCTCAGGAGTTGGCCCTGGCGTCGCCCAATGACCAATCTGGAGTCTGGGCGTAGGCTTACGTCGGGCCCGTCCCCATACAGGGGGATTTTCGATGGAAAAAATATTCAAAAATAATCAAAACATAGTCCAAAAATAGTCTGGGAAGTATTTTTGGAGTTGGAGTAGTTGTTTGATATTTTGGTGTATTTTTTTTAATGTTTTTGTTGAAAATCCCCCTGTATAGGGGGACACGCCCGACATAAGCGTAGGCTTAGGCTTTGGTGTATGCTGATGTGCTGGCTTCGAGGCTGGTGTAGGAGGCCACGAGGGCTCAGTGCGGAAGCTGAGATTCCAAGGCGGTTTGTGGAACATCGCATGGTTTAGCGCATGGCCGCCTGAATACAGTCAACGCGCCTAGTAAGGACGCGCGCCTTCACCTAGGATACACCAGAAATCCCAACTTCAGTCTCCAAGGGTCTTGCGTCCTTACCACGCGTCCTTAGTATACGTTTTGACTGTATAGCGATGGTCAAGACTTCATCAGAGAAGGGGGTGACAGAGGAAACGAGGAAATGATAAGGGATACGTGAGAGACGTCAAAGATGAAACGCATCATAGGAAGGAGAGGGAGAGAGAGAGAGATATATATACATAGACAAACAAGAGCATGGGAGAGGAGATGATGGGGGATACGGTGAAGAAGGAAGGAGGAACGAATTGTGATGAAGAGGGGGGCAGGTGAAAGCCCAAGACGCATCAACGATGTTGCAATAAACCTTCCCTCCAAGTTGCTCTTTCAGAAGTTATCTCAAGCCCCCCACAAGCATGAGTTCCATTGCGGGAATGGCCCCTTTACAAGAAAACGTTAGGGAATCCCCGATCTTGCCAAAACGCCGTTCTTGGAACCCTAGCGCCCTGAATCGACAAGACTGTTGCGTCCTGATACCCTGTAATCTTGCCAGAACGCCATTCCTAGGATCATTGGCTGCGAGTCAAGAACATGACTGTTGCTTCCTGACAGTTCTGGAATGTGCAAGAGAATCCTTTCCGGTACGTCAGCCATACGGGACCTTGAAACTGCTGCAATCTTCAGAGACAGACGTGCGCGGTGCTTAGGCGAGAGCCGCATCTTGAAAACGACCCGCCCTCATCCTCGCATCTGCGGCACATTGGTTCGCGGGATCTGCGCGGCGCCGGGCGAGGGCCGCATCTTGAAGCGGAACCGCCCCCCCCATCTTCGAAGCTGCTGCAAAAAGGGCAACGGTGAGGTCCGCATGAAGAGTAGGAGCTGCCCTCCATCCTTGCAGCGGTTTCGAGCTTTTCAGACGAGCGGGCGCCGCGCTGGGGCGAGAGCGGCATTTTGGGGAGGAGCCGCCCTGCATCCCTGAAGGGGCTGCAGGCTCGTAGCGCGAATGCGGGCGGCGCTGGGGCGAGAGCCGCACGCTGAAGCTGACCCCGCCCTCCCTACGCGAGCCTGCTGCAAGCTTTTCATGAGTCGAGCGTGGGCGGCGCTCGCGCGAGAGCCACATTTTGAAAACGAGCCGCCTCCCATCCATGCATCGTCCCTCTTCTTCTTCTTCCTCCTCCTCCTCCTCCTTCTCTTCCTCCTCCTCGTCCTCCTCCTCCTCCTCCAGAGTTCAAGCCTCAGGATCGCAACTGGTCAGAGGAAGTCTTGGGCGAGACGTGCGCCCCGCCGCACCGACGCGTCTGGAGGTGCGGCGTGCGGCAGGGAGAACGGATGGAGCAGTCGGGGCGCAGGCGAGAGGAGGAAGCCGTGCAGCGAGCCTGCTCGCCTCTGGCGAGCAGAAGCGGAAGGGAGAGAGAGAGAGAGAGGGACAAATCAGCACAGAGAGAGAGAGAGAGCGAGAGAGGCAGAGATAGAGAGAGAGATACAGACAGAGCGAGAGAGAGAGAGAGACAGGGCAACAGAAATACTCAAACACACGCCGGGCCAGGACATGTACCAGTGGGTCTGTCCCGTTGCCTCCAGCAGGCCGCGGCGCCACCCCCGCGGGCGCTCTCTTCCCCCGCCTTCTGCCGCCTCCCTCTGCCTTATGGTCGGCCTGCCACCGCGACCGAGGATCCCAAGACGTTTTCGAGGCTCCTCTCCTCCTCGTCCCCCCCTCCCTCCCTCTTTTCTCAATTCTCCCTCAATCCCTCGCCCTCACCCCTCCTTCCGCCTGGGGGCGCCTAAGTGGTACCCCACCCCGGACCCCACCCCTGTCACGCAGGGACATTTCTGAGCATTATGATTGAGTCGGGCCTGTCCCTCTACAGGAGTAATATCCAACAATAGCCAGAACAATATGGGGACTATTGTTTGACTTGTTTTGAACATGTTGGGTGTATTTGTTGCGAGTATGTTTAATTTGTCTTCCAAAATCCCCGTGTAGGGGGACAGGCCCGACCTAACATTATGATTGAGGTCCTGGACCCCGCCTTAGCCAGGTCTCTTCAAGGTCTGGCCCGGTGTCCCCCCCCCCCCTAGCTTCCTTCTCCTCCCTCCTCCCCCTCCCACTCCTTTCCTCCCCGCTCCCTCGCCCTCCTCCCTTCTTCTTCCCCTCCTGCGCTCTGCGGTCCTACTCGATTCGTCCTGTGAACACAAGACGCCCGCACTCTGGACGATCAGGGAACCGAAGCAGCTCAAAACTCCCTTGTGATAGGGGCACTGGGACTACCGCCTCGGCTCTCTAGGTGGACGGGTCCCTGCCCAGATTCAGGAGTCTCACATGCCTCGCTTGCCATTCCGCATCAGCGTGGCCTCTGCACTCCTGAATTAGGTCTTGGACCTTGCTCTTGGAGCAGAGTCCGTATACGAATCGCCAAATCTTGGGCCCGTTTGCCCAGAGGCGATGCTTGGGATGGGCCTTAGCGAAGGCCACTGGGACCCCTGGGCAGGGTACGCGCACCAGTTGAGAGCGAGTGGATCGTCCCTGCCCACCGATTCTACATCCCCACCCACCTGCAACTTGCGAAGCCTTGTGATCCTTATCATCTGAAAAGACCTCGAGCAGAGGGCTCCGAGTCAACATTCGCCTTCTTCCCACGGTCTTTCAGAGCCTGAACGTCAGGACGCCCAGGACGGCGCACATGCTTCAACACATCTGCCATGTGCCTGGCTAGCGGAGCCACCTGATCACAATGGAGCCTGATGCTGCCTCGGGCGTGGAAGTTCACCAGGTGCGCCCTGGCACCCTTCCTGGCCCACTCGTGGGCGGGTCTGCTGCCGTGGAAGAAGTGGGGCTCATCGCCCTGATGATAGGCTGGCCGCTTCGTCGTGTGCGCAGCGATCTCCAGAACTCTAGCGCTATCCCTTCCTGACGTCCTCGATCCTCCTCCGCACTTGCCTCCAGATCTCCGTATACAGTATCAATTCTGATGCTTGGTGATGCCCTCCCCCGCCTCCCATCCGTCGACGACCATCTGGCAGTCCGTGACCGGCGTTGGCGACGGCCCCATCAGACTGAGGGCCATAAGCAAGGCGTGCGTACGGCTATGAGCTCGGTACGTCTTGCATTGCTAAAGGGGAGGGTCCGTAAGCGACGGCCTTAGGGGAACAAAAAGTGACATGAACATACAAAATCGGAGGTCCGCGCGCATTTCTCGGATCGGCGCTGGACCCCCCTCCCTGGCGCGCGGAGCGCGCCAGGGGCGGCGCCGGAGGCGCCGCCGGGGGGCCCCAGCGCCGATCCGAGAAATCCGTGCGGACCTCCAAGTGTTTATGTTTATGACACGTGTTGTTCCCCTAGGCCTCCATCTCCAAAGACGGGTTGACGGACACAGGAGCCAACCCCGCGCGCAGCAGCCTTTTGACATCATCATCGTGCCTTGGCCCGTCGATGCATACAGATTCCCCCCTACACCCGTCTTGATGTGGCGGATAAGCCCACCTAAATTCGGCTCAGTGCAGTATCTTGGGAATCGTGTCGCGCTCGCTGGCCACCGGGCCCTGGGTCCATCTCAAGTCTGGCTGGGAAAAGAGGCATCCCACTGTGGTCAGATCTCTCCGCAGGTCCCAGGTGCCACGACCTGCCCCACAGCGCTTGCACGAGGGGTCCACGGTGCACCCGTTCCAGAGAGGTCTGATTGGGTCCAGAGGTCCCCTGGGACTTGCGCCTGAAGTAAAATATCTCGTCCTTCAGAGGGTCCAGTAGGGGCTCCCAGAACACTCCGTAGAATTGCCCTGCCTTCCTGATGTTCAACTGCTGCGTGCTTTCGTCGGCCAGGGTCTTGATGATGTGAGACACAGGCATTGGAGGTCCAGGACGAGCCCACTCTCAGTAACCCACTCAAGCTAATAAACACTTGCCCACCTCAAACGCATCAAAGTGTTGGGTACTGCTCCTGCTGGGCCAACCACTCACCGTCATCCTTCTGGCTCGAAGCGATGTGCCCTGGCGAAGGCTGTTCGCGTCTGGCTCGTGGCGACCCACTTCTCAAAAATAGCTCTGGCCCACTTCACCAGCGGCTGCGAGTTTGCCAGGTACGTCGGGTCGACGTGCAAGCAGATACTGGGCCGCCTTGCACCTTCCTTTGGCGGGGCCGAGCAGAACAGCTGCCGTGGTGCCCCCCTGGGACCGCAAGAAGGATTTTGCACGCAGCAACCACGCCGATCCCATACATCGCTGCTCGAGTACCTGATTCCCTGAAAGCCCGGCTGAAATGGCCTCTTAGAAAGCCGAAGCGCTCGATACTGTCTGACTCGACCCTCAACTCTCTAGACTTGCTTCTTTGGTAACCTGTCGACCTATGCCGACGGCGAGCTTAAAGTCTACACCAAGGTTCTTGGTCGAATCACCTCACTTGAAACGGAGCACTGCAATTTGTGTTGGACATGCGATTCCAGTTTCAAAGGGGGCGCGACAAACATGCACTTCTTCTTGGACTCCTTGACCAGCTCGATCTGGTCCAGACTCCTTGCAGCCTCTCAGGGTCCCCTTGACGATGGATGTCTTGACGTACGGGCCTGTACCAAGGGCCTGGATGGTGGAAGCGTCAACCATGGCGAACCCCAACGTGCCATATCATCATCGAATACGCCTTTCCAGACCATGCCTTCCCGCCACGATGCTGGAAATCACTGAGAAGGGACGCGATACGGCCTCCCCTTCCTTGATAAACCTGGGCCCGCCATAGACTAGGAGGAGCACTCGAACTCGCCTGATACTGGACATGTGGTAAAGACAAGAGCAAACCCTCCTTTTCCTGCCCCTTCTTGTTCTCCCCCTCCCCCATCCTCCCTGCTTCCCCCCCCGCCACACTGTCCCAGTCCCCCCCTCCTCTCCCCCACTCCTCTTCCCCCGGCTCCTCCTCTTCCCCTTCTTTTTTGGAGGAGGGTCCCTGCTGGTGTGCCGAGGATCCAGGTCTTTGGAGGACGCCTTCCGTCCTTGTGTGTGTTTCCGCCCCCACCGTCGGCAGGGGTGGCCGGCCTCCTGATCCCCGACGACTGTTTTTGTTTCCGGACGGGGACGGTTGCCCCTTCCCCCCGTGGAGGGCGGGACGCTCGAGGGGGAGACAAACAAAAATGTGTCTCCGCCCCCATCTCCGAAGCTGGACTCGCCTCGGCTTGGCATCGCTCGGACGTGTGCATTGTTTTCCTCGGCGACGGCCATCGAGGAGCATCCTTAATCATCTGGCGAGGAAAAAACCACACGCACGATATCGAAAAATACACGAGGAATGGACGTCCGAGCGATGGCGAGTCGGCATCGCTGGCCGCGCCTCGGGGCCCCGCGCCTCGGGTGCGGCCGCTTCGCGCCGTGCCGCCGCGGCCGCCGCGGCCCCCGGTGCGGGCGTTCCGGGCGTCGCCCCGCCGCTGGCGCAGGATCGGGCGAGAAGAAGGAACGATCGGGCGATCGTTGTGGAGGACGAACATTTCCACAACAATCGGGCGATCGTTGTGGAGAGGAAGCATGTTGCCAAATCATTTCCAGATGCCTTATCCATGTCTTGAGCATGTTTTGAACATGTTTAGAACATCTTTCCGACCTGCTAAACACATGTAGAATTCAATGATCGGGATCGGCCGCGAAGAAGAAACGATCGGGCGATCGTTGTGGAGGAGGACCAATGTTACCAGCCTGGAACACATCCCTGTCCCTATGCTGGGCACCTCCTCATCACGATGCAAATCTTAGGGATTCCCTTATTTTTTGAGGGCGGATCCCTAAGATTGTCATCGCCTTTTGGCGTGTCAATCTTAGGGATAGGGATACGTTCGAGGCTGGTAGAATGGAGAGGAAGCGTGTTGCCAAATAATTGCCAGATGCCTTAACCATGTCTTAAACATGTTCTGAACATGCTCAGAACTTCTTTCCGACCTGCTAAACACACTTAGAATTCAATGGTAGGACTGTTAGGGTGTCCACTGTCGTGGCATCCACAGGGCGATCGGAAAGCCGCTGATCGCTCAAGGTCTCACGATCCACGCGGTTTCAGGAACCGCCGCCTGGCAGGACCTGCCGCTTGGGTCGCCACGGCACGCACCTGCCGTACGGATATCTGCCCGCGCTCGCGAGCGGGAATGTTTCATAACATGCATCGCTGCCCAGGGGTCTCTGGGCAGGTCTTCAGAAGACAGCCACAGCAAGATAACCTCCAAACTATGAAAGGGAAGCGGGCAGAATAATGCTGTACGCGAGCGTCACAGGCGGTATCGCAGGCGGTGCCGAGAAGAAGTGCTGGCCCAGTTCAGCGTCGCGTCGGCGGATCCCAGCGCATCGCCCGAGGTAGAAATTCCCCTGCTAAGGCGTCGTAGCTCAGACAGGCCAGATCCCCACTAGGGTTGGGTGCACATCAGCGCGTCACCAAGGCTCCCTGACCATACATCCAGAAGTCCCGCACCGGAGATCCATTAATCGTGATGCCAGGCGCACGTTCTGGACCGTGCCTGGTTGAGGCACTGCGTGAGCAGCCGCCACTGGTGTGGGCTGCCCGTTGGCCTCGCTCGGCCTGCGTGCGTGCTTGCTGCCCGTGCGTGTGCGTAGAACTTGGTGTGATCTGCGCGCGTTGCAGCACCTGCGAGCGGTGGCATATGAGACGTGCTGGCACAGCGATTCTCCCACGCGCGCCAATTTGACACTGCATGATGTAGCTTGTGTCAAGTATATAGAGAATTCGCTTCCAAGCGCAGTGAGGCAGTCCGACTAAGCACTCTCCTGCATCCTTTGCATACTTCGCTCCGTCTATCCCGTACCGTCCTGCCTGCTCCTCTTGCTTCCTCTATGCCCTTCATCTGCTCCTCCTCATCCTCCCCGCCGTGTATACTCAGCGGTCTGTTCAAGATGGCGTGACACTCTCTGAGGTCATGCAAGCACGCTGTGATGAACTATTCGTCCGTGTCCATCTGCTTATCCTCATTCGCTTTTTCTTTGTTCTTTGTTTCCTGTCTCTCCCTCTCTCCCTCTGTCCTTGTGTACAGACATTTCATATACATAATACACCCTGCATCTATGTGTACGCCTATGTGACATGGACATTCATATATGTACACAGGTCATCCACCTCTTGCCTCTCGTCCGTCGTCCTCCTCCTCCCTTCCCTTCCCTCCCTCCCTCCCTCCCTCAAGCTCCTCGGGCACCACTGCCCCTCCCAGCGCAGAAGGAGAAGCAGGAGGAGGAGGAGGATGTGACGACAGCCGGTGGCCACCGACGCGTCCGCACGCGCGCAGCCCGGGGAAGAGGCGCACGCCTCCGAGGAGGAGGAGGACGAGGTCGAGGAGGAGGAGGAGGACGAGGAGGAAGAGGAGGAGGAAGAGGAGGAGGACGAGGAGGTGGAGGAGGAGGAAGAGGAGGAGGAGGTCGAGGAGGAGGAGGAGGAGGACCAGTGCGAACCCAAGGCCCATCAGCGATGTTGGAAAACACCCTCCCTCCAAGCTCCCTCTTCCCGGGCCGGGCTCCTGCAGGGGCTCTCTCCCAGTTGGGGAGGGCCGCAGTTGGGGGGCAGCCGTGTGGACATCTTGACGCGTGCCAAAGCACCATTCTAAGCACTCCAGCTCCTCGAGTCAACCTGACTGTTGCGTCTTAAGCATCCTTAATCGCGCCAGAACGCCGTTCCTGGAACATGAGCACATCGAATCAGCGTCACCGTTGCGCCCTGGTAACCCTTAATCGCTCCAGAACTGTAGCTTTGGAATATTCACCATGAGAACCCGTGAGAATCTTGCAGTGTCTTAAGACGAATGTACGCGGCGCTGACGCAAGAGCCAACGTTTGAAAAGGAACCGCCCTCAATCCGTGACGTACTTGCAATTGTTTCAAACACATGTTCGCGGCGCTAAGGCAAGAACAGCAGGTTGAAAACCTCCCGCCCTCAATCCGTGAAACACTTGCTGGCTTTCAGAGCGAATGTGCGCGGCGCGAAGGCGAGAGCCACATTTTGAAGACGACCTGTCCTCAATCCGCGAAGCTCTTGCTTTAAAACATGTGCGCGGCGCTTGGGCGAGCGCCACATGATTACTGAAAATCACCCGCCCTAAATCCATCAAGCGCTTGCAGTGTTTTGAGACGAGTGTGCGCGGCGCTAAGGCGAGAACCACATTTTGAAAACCACCCGCCATGCATTTGTGAAACTGCAGCCAGTGTTTCAGTTTCAGGGTCATAAGTGGTGAGGAAGTCTCGGATGAAACGCCAGGCCCGCCCTTTTGACTGGCCTCGGGGTGCGACAGGGAGACATCCTTGACAAGGACACAGAAGGGAGGAGGAGAAGGAGGAGGAAGAGGAGGAGGACGAGGAGGAGGAGGAGGAGGACGAGGAGGAGGAGGAGGAGGAGGAGGAGAGAGGAGGAGGAGATGGGGGGGCCCCCGCCCAGGGCGCCGCGCGCGACCCTTGCAGGGCGGGATGCTCCCCGCTCGGCCCAGCCGCTCGCCCGCCGTCGGCTGCCGCGGCGCCCTCGGCCGCTCGCCTCGACGCCCGCCCTCGTGGCGCCGCCTCCGTCGCCCTCCTCCTCCGCCTCCTCCTCCTCCTCGTCCCTCCTCCTCCTCTCCTCCTCCCCCTCCCCCTTCCCCTCCCCTCCCCCTCCCCCTCCCCCTCCCCCTCCTTCTCCTCCTCCTCCTCCTCCTCCTCCTCCTCCTCCTCCTCCTCCTCCTGCTCGCTGAGGGCTGGCCCGTGGCCGGGGCCGGGGCGCCCCCGCCCGCCAGCAACGTGTCCATCCGGGACGTCTTCCACGTCGTGATGGACGAGGAGCTGTCCGAGGTGCCAACCTTCGCCGCGGCCTCAGGAGAGGAGGAGGGATCCAGCAGTGACGAGGCGTCCTGGCGTGCCTATAGTGCTACCATACCATGTTCTGAGAGCCTTTTGTGGTTCCCACGAAATGTTCTCAGAACAGTTCTTGTTGGGACTTCCCTGTCTTAATTCGTCGGGTTTATGTGATAAGAACATTGTTGTTTAAGAAAATGGTTTTTGTTCTTGGAGCGTTTTTGGGTTCTCAGAGCATTTCGTAGTAGGACTATAGGAATGCCGGGACGGCCAGTCCCTGCTCAAGAGGAGCTGTCCGAGGTGCCGACCTTCGCCGCGGCCTCGGGAGAGGAGGAGGGAGAGTAGGCAGGAGGAGGGGACGAAGAGGGACGAGGCAGACGGCAGGCTGGATTGGGGGCGGGGGTGGAGGTGGACACCTTGGCGGAGGGTTGCGTTTCCCTCGCGTCCTGATTGGGGATCTGGTGTGCCTGCCCAACCGCGCCACATCTCACCACCTTCCTTCTCCTCGCGTGCATATGCGCCAGCAAGCATCGTACCCATACCCATGCACCTGCACATGACCATGCACGCACGCACGTATGCGCACTTAATTATCTATCCGCATACTTGTCCAGGGTGAGGGAGGGTAGAAGAGGGGGTGCCCAGTTTGCGCAAACAGGGTTTTTTTTGAGTTGATCTTCTGGAACTTCTCTACGCTGCGCGGGAAGGTTCTCTGAGAAGATGTGTCACTGGTGTGATTCTCCTCAGCGCCAGCTGGGCCATTCCAGGACGCGAATGCACACACACGCAGACACACACAAGCAAACACACACACAAGCAAACACACACACACACAGGCACACAAACACACACACACACACGCACGCACACACACACACACACACACACACACACACACGCCCACACGCACACAAACACACACATATCAGAGTGAGGGGGCCGAACGGTCTCTCATTGTCCCTAGGTGCGTGGCTGAAAAAGAAATTCGTGGTGAGAATTCTGCTTGATGCGTTGTTGTTGCTGCTGCTGCTGTTGGTGTTGTTGTAGTTGTTGTTGTTGGTGTTGTTGTTGCTGTTGCTATTATGGTTGTTGTTGTTGTTGTTGTTGTTGTTGTTGTTGAATTCTCAGTTCTGAAGAATAATCATTGTTGATCCCCCCTCACCGGTGCATGTTGTTTTTTCTCAATCAAAGTGTGCCCCTCGACACTCGCATCCTGTTTTTTTGACAGGGAAGTCGTCCTGCTCAAACTGGCCCCCTGGCCCCCGGGTTACAACAACAACGGCTCCCGCCTGAGACTTCCTTACAATTTAGCCAGGACCCCCGCTTCCGTCCGAGACTTCCTTGCATTTTATTGAGGAATCGCGCTCTCGCTTGGGACCTCCTTACAATTTACGCAGGAATCGCTCTCCCGGCGCTCTGGAGTCGCGCTCTCGCTGGAGACTTGCTTGTAACTTACTGACGAATGGCCTTGCGTTGGAATTTCTTGCAATTTGCCCAAGCGCCGCACTCCCGACACCCAGGCACCCAGGAGTCGTGCCCGTTGTGGCCCCATGTGCATGCCCTTCGTGGCCCCGCTGTCGCCATTTGCGTCCCCCTCAGTGTCCTACGTGGCCCAGTTGCTACCCTCAGTGGCCCCATAGTTGCCTTCTGTGGCCCCGCATTATCTGCACTTCGTGGCCCCCGCTCGTTCGCGCTTTCGTGGCCCCATACGCATTCCCTTCGTGTCCCCGCTGTCGCCCTTCGTGGCCTACTTCGTGCCCTTCGTGGCCCTGCTGTCGTTCTCTCTCGCTCTCGCTTTCGCTCGTCGTCGCCGTCGTCGTCGTCGTCGTCGTCTCGACGTCGTCGTCGTCGTCGTCGTCGTCGTCGTCGGTCGGTCCCCTGTCCGTCCCTCGTGGGGTCGGGTCGACGGTCCGCGGCCGCCCCGCCGATCAGCGCTGCCGCTGGCCAGGCCGACGGTCCGCGGCCGCCCCGCCGCTTGCCGGGGCCCGGCCTGCAGGGAAGAAAGGTATACCCCCCAAAAGGGGTTCGATCGAAGACGAAGAGGGCGGGTATCGAGGGTTTGGGAAATACGCGTTATTGGACACTCGAGCATATAAGGGCGAACAGTCTTAAGAGTATTGTTGTTGTTGTTGTTGTTGGTGGTGGTGTTGTTGTTGTTGTTGATGCTGTTGTTGTTGTTGTTGTTGTTGTTGTTGTTGTTGTTGTTGTTGTTGTTGTTGTTGTTGTTGTTGTTTGTTGTCGTCGTCCCACCCGCGACCCACCCGCGATCCACCCCGCGACCCACCCCGCGACCCACCCCGAGACCCACCCCGCGACCCACCCGCGACCCACCCGCGACCCACCTTGCGACCCACCCAGCGACCCGCCCCGCGACCCACCCTGCGACCCACCCGCGACCCATCCGCGACCCACCCGCGACCCATCCGCGACCCACCCCGCGACCCACCCCGCGACCCACCCTCAAGGGACGAAAAAACACCAGGACCCGACAACTGATGTTTCTTAAACGGCCCTGGGCGTTCACTAGATAGTTTTGCCCAGTTCGATTCACCAATTGTGAGGGGGCCGCACGGTCATTCATTGTCCCTGGGTGCGTGGCTGAATAAGGAACTCGTGGTGAGAATTCTGCTTGATGCGTTGTTGTTGTTGTTTTTGTTGTTGTTGTCGTTGTTGGTGTTGTTGTTGTCGTTGTAACGCCCGCGACCCACCCACGACCCACCCCGCGACCCACTCGGCGACCCACCCGGCGACCCACCCGCGACCCACCCTGTGACCCACCCGCGACCCAACCCGTGACCCACCCACCCGCGACCCACCCGACGCGACCCACCCGCGATCCACCCGCCACCCACCCCGCGACCCACCCGCGACCCACTCCGCGACCCATCCGCGACCCACCCGCGATCCACCCGCGATTCACCCACCCTGCGACCCACCCGCGAGCCACCCCGTGACCCCTCCGCGACACATCCGCGACCCACCCGCGAGCCACCCCGCGACCCACCCCGCGACCCACCCCGCGACCCACCCTCAAGGGACGCAAAAAATCCATCCGGACCCGACAACTGACGTTTCTTAAACGGCCCTGGGCGTTTACTAAATAGTTATGCCCTGTTCGATTCATTCCTTGTGTGCGTTTACTGAACGGCTTCTCTTGTCGGGGTGATTCTTATGGGGTGAACTTTCTGCCCTCTACACCCGCGACCCATGTGCGACCCACCCGCGACCCACCCACATTGGTTTAACGAAAAAATCGGCGCCTGCGGCGCGCTCGTTGTATAATTTGTGAAACTCTGGCGCATGCGGCGGGCTTCTCCCGAGTCTCGCAAACTGCCGACGTCCCCGCCGCCCCCTCACTCTTATCCGCATCTGCGGGGTGCTACGTATTCGTGACGCGGGCCAGAGGAAGAAAACCTAAACCAGGACATCATAACCTCTCCGCATCACCAGGGCCATCACCAGGGCCAGAACGCGAAAGCGCCGCAAACCGCTTGCCGCCGCCAGAAGTCATTGACGAGGTCCTGCGGGAAGCAGGTCCTCGCGCCCGGGGCTCTTTCCCGGTACCACACCTTCATCCAGAACAGTTGTGTTGCGGGTTGCGGGCCTGGGGAAGGCCCCAAGGACCCGACCACGGGAAAACGCATCCAGTGCCCCTTGCTTTCCGTATCCCGTGGCGAGCTTCCTGTCCCGCTTACACGGGGCGCGCTGAAAGGAAGGCTCGACGCCATCAGCGCGCGAAGAGGCGACCGCAGGGAAACACGGAGGGGGAAATCGGAGGTGAGGGGGACCTTGGAGGAGAGGGGGAAACCAAAATCGATAGTGATATCGATTGAGTGAGATATTGGTCTCTCCCCCCCGAGGCTCCTCATCACCCGAAGGGTGGTCGTATAGGTTTATTACAGAGGGGTGGGACCAGCGCAGGGGGAGCATCGATCTGATATTGACGACACGTCGCCGATGGCTTCCTGGATATAACGACGCCACACGCGGCTGGGCGGGGTGGGCCATCAGTCCCCGGTCGGAGATCCATTCACGACTGGGGGTCGATGCGTTCCTCCCTGAGCTTGCCCGCGTCTGCCGCAATAGATATTCTGGCCTCGGGGCGCAGATGCAGCGCAATCTGTATGGGATTCGGTTTCCCGGGGCGCGAGCCTGGCGTAACTTACTATGGATGCTTGGTTCGGGAGCGCGACACTGACGTGGCTTCTGGCATCGTGGGTGCGAATCTGGGGTGATCTTCAACGGATTCTGGCGGCTGGAGCGCGAAGCTGGCGTAAACTACTGGGGGTTCTGATTTCGGGAGGGCGAGCCAGGCGTGCTTAGTGAAGGCTTCTGGCTTCGGGAGCACGAATCCATAATCACTTCCTATGGGGCCTGGCTGCGGGGGTGCGAATCCAATGCGATTTCGGATGGACTTTTTGGCCTCGGGAGTGCGAACCTGGCGCAGTTTACGAATCAGGAGCAAGGGCCTGGACACGGAACTCTCATGTATTCTGGCATGTCTCGGGGCTCCCGGGGGAAGTCCTCAGAACCCCAGGAGGCCATGGCGGCTAAGGCGACGATCGGCCTCCCCCCTTCGCGCGGCCATGAGCCATTTTCAGGACGACGCAAGAAGGGTTACGTACAACTTTGCAGACTTGAGCCTGGAAGCTGCACTGGAGCTCAAGAGCGTGGAGCTCAAGAGTGGTACCTCTTGCTGAGTGCCGACCCTCGCAGCCGGGTGGCTCCGCAGGGCGGGGGGGGATCAATATCCGCGCCAGGTGGGCCGCTTGGTCAATTATTGGACCTTGGGAGACGGGACACGTGAACATCTCTGGGCTCTTTGGGGTCGATGTTGTTCCAGTCCACCGCTCCTTTTTGGGCCATGGGAAGATCGCATCCCAGTGCGGTGGACATATGTCCCAGTCTCGGCCTCGCAGAGAGAGCCCAGCGGGGTCTCCGCGTCAACCCTCCTGGGGCAGAGGTCTACTGCCACCTCGCCAGGGCTTTCGTCAAGCTCCGCTTCAATCCTCCTCGATTCACGCCCTCCTCCTCTGGTCTCTGCATCCGTCAACGCCTGAAGAGAGCAAGAGAGCAAAAGAGTATAGGTTACGTTGCATCTTCGGGGGATCTCGCCTGTCCCCAGAACTGGTGTCTTCTCTTGTGCCCGACGCGGGCTTGGTGCGGACCCGACGCGGATATGGCGTGGATCCTGTGCGGATCCGACACGGATTCGACACAGGTCCGACGAGTCCGACGTGGGTTCGACGCGGATAGGGCCGCGACGGGACGGGCAAGGTCCCCCGAAGATGCATCCTAAGAGAAAGGCGGCAACACAGAGGGGAAGACTGAGGGAGGCGGCAACGGCAGCAGACGTGCAGAGAGGCCGGCAGACGGCGTGAAGCCGCAGCGGGGGCGGGTTGCGGCCTCTTCCAGCCCCGGGCCGGGATTCGGGGCCTCTCCCGCCCCTGCCTCGCAGAGGGAGCCACCGCCCGGCCCAGCTCGGCACCGGGGGGCCCCGCCGAGGTCGCCGCCTTCAACGCGACCCTGGACGGACTCGACCCCACCGAGAGGCGGCTCTTCCTGTCCTTCGTGACCGGCGTGGAGGCGTGCACCCGCAGCAATGACGACGACGATGACGAGAGCGATGGCGATGACGACGACGACGACGACGACGTCATCGTCATCTTCGTCAAAGGAGGACGTTTTGATTCCCCTCGCCAGCCCGGTTCCTCCTCATCCCAGTTCCCCCCCCCGTCCTCATCCACATCCTTGAGGCTTCTTAGCCTACCTTCGCCACCCCGCCCTCCTCCTCCAACTCCATCCTTCTTCTTTCCGCCTTGCGCTCACCCTGTCGTCCTTCTTGCTTGCCCCCTCCCTGCTCTTTCGAACGTGTTTTCCTTTTGTCCCTCCCCCCATCCTCCGCCGCCCCCACTCCTGCCTCTTCCTCCACTCCGCCTGCTTCCCCTTCACCTCCCCCGATCCCGCCTCCTCCGCGCACATCCTCCTGCCCCCCACTGCTCGTCCCTCCGTTCCCCCCTCCCCCCCAGCCCTCCCTGATCGGGGGTGGACAGAACCCCCAACACTGACACGTCGATTCGTGAATGGTCCGTTTTCGGTCTTCGAGAGGGCGCCGTGGCCGCTTTGTTTTCCAGGCCTGCGCCCGCCAGGTTTGGGCCTCGGGTCGTTTTCACGAAACCACGTTTTGCTAAGGGGGGAGAGCATGCTACGCATGGAATGAATTCCATGGAAATCATTTGCAGTGGCTCCGTGAGTGGATCAATCTAGCCTGATGAGGCTATGATGCCTCATCAGTCTAGGCCTGACCCGTGGCTGGATCAATCCAGCCCCGACCTGGGCAAGGCCGACCGGGAGCGGCGGCAGCGCAGGCACTCTCTCCTTCACGTGCTGGCTCGATGCCGGCGGCGCCACGGGCTCCCGCTCCTCGACCCTCCCGCCCCTCCTCCTCGCCTTATGATGCTCCAACCTGCTTTGGCCTTGATCATCACCAGGAAGAATTTCGAGCGGCCAAAACAGTACCGAAGCTCAAGGGTTTTCACGTGCCGGGCCCTGGGAGACACTCGCCCGACACAGTTTCGACACTGTTTCGACACTCTTTTGGCACTTTTCTGGGTGCTCGAAATTGTTTCTGGGACGTGGTCCTTAAGTAGGATGGGAACAACATAATCCTAATCCTCGCCGTTTTGCGGATGCCCTTTTTCCTCTCCCCCCCCTCGGCCCCCCTCGACACCCTCCGCGGCGGAGAGGCACCCCCAGAGCCGAAGACCGAGCAGCTGACGGTGCAGCTGCCCTTCAGCGCCTTCACGCGCGCGGAGGGGCTGCCCCGCCAGGGCCCCAGGGGGGGGGGGGGGGGTTGTGGAGGGTCGTGCCCCCCGCATCCCTCTCGAGGGAGCGCTGACATGGACCAGGGCGCGTGCGTTAAATTGGGCGTGTCCCCCTACAGGGGGATTGTGGACGAACAATACCCTCCCCAAAATATTCCAAAATGTTCAAAAATAGTCAAACAATCGTCCCCATAGTATTTTCTGACTATTCTGGACTATTGCTCCTGTAGAGGGACAGGCCCGACTTCACGCGTGTGTCAGCGACGGGCCCCGCTTCCACACGGAAGCGGCGCGCGGTGTCGTCGAATTCGGCGGCATTGTTGGGGGTGCTTCCCTGATCCATGGATCTGGTGCCCACGCGCCAGATCCACGGATCCTGAATCCATGTTAACGTGCCCCCGACTCGCCTTATCTTGATCATTTTTCCCCCTCTCGCTCTTCTTTCGGCGCCTCCCTAGCACTCCTGTCCTCCTCCTCCGCCTCCTCCTCCTGCTCCTCTTCCTCCTCGCGCTCAACGTCGTCCCCATCCTTCTCCAACCCCTCCTCCTCCCATTCATTTCCCTACTGTCTTCCAACCTAACCCTGGAGCCAGGGAGTCCCTGTTATTGCGGACAAAGTTATTGCAGTGGCTCCTGCTCTCGCGAACCTCCTGCATGGACGCCTTCCTGAGCATTCGGTTGTGCTTCGACGGAACGTAGCCTTACATTATTCGGCGCCGCGTGGGCTATGGATGTCTGCTGCATCGACCAAGGAGCTCAGGAAATTACAGAAAAGGTGCCAGGCTGCCACAGGTGTCGGCTTTCAATCCCGACGCTCAATCCCGACGCTGCCCCTTTTGCTCCGCAAGGCTTGGGCGACCCGACTGTGAAGCAGCTCGGCAGGCCTGGCATTTGGAAGCCTTTCGACGTGGCTCCGCCTTCGTCGTAGATTTCTGGTGCTGTGGGGCCACAGGCAGATAGCGAGGCGTCCAGAGAATTTTTGGCTAAGCATGCCCCCCAACCCGCGGCAGGGGATAGAAAGGCAGATGTTTGTGGTGGGACTTTCAACTTTCTTCGCGCAGACATGCAGGATAACCCAGACGCTAGCCAGCGCAGGTGTTGCTCGGAAGGGCATGTTTTGGTCAGGGAGGAGAAGAACTACCTTCCTGTTATATGCACATTTTGTGAGAGCACCATGTTGCTTGTCTGGGAAATGCAATTTCATCCTGCGGCTTATGATTGTGAGGATCTGCTTTGCACGGTTTGTGGACATATTGCGTTACGGCGTGAAGCTCCCATTGTCGAGATGCCGATGGCTGAGCGGCCAGTTCTTCCTACAGGGCCGCTGATCGATTGTGCCAACAACGGCGTTGGGTAAGGTGGGTGTGGCGTCATTTTGGCGCAGGAGTTCAACACGGAGCGGCTGGGGATTTCCATCGTAGTGACGGTGGCGCCTTCTTGCGTATGATTTTCGTGGCTCCTTGACGTGGCGTGCAGCATCCCCTTTGAGTACGTGGGCATTTGTGGAGCAGGCTGGGGCTGCGAACGAGGTTTTCGGCCTGTCCTCCGTCGTGCCGGGCTGAGCTATAAATTGGGGCTCCGCAGTGTGGATTCCGCCCTTCAGACAGGTACGAGGTAAGAGAAGAAGACTGTGCGAGGAGGAGGAGGTGGAGGAGGATGAAGAGGGGGAGGAGGAGGAGGGATGAGGCAAGGAAGTCTCCATTTGAGTCTCCATCACTCGGCACCGCCACCTATGGCCAGGTCACCTGGCTCTCGGGCTATGACAACCGGGGGGGAGGCAACCCAGGAGGAGGAAGGAGGAAACGAGGAGGGAGGAGGGGGCGGGGGGGGAGGAGGAGCAGGTATAGTGACAAGGAGTCTGCGGGGGGGCCACTCGGGGGCCACTGGCGACAGTTTTGGGCGCGTCGTGGAGTGGAGGGGGTGGGGGAGGGGGCGGGCGGGATGGGCTTGGTGGAGGATGACGAGGGGGCAACGTCAAACTCCATCCGAGTCCTCCCTCCCTCCCTCCTCCTCCTCCTCCTCCTCCTCCTTCTCCTCCTCCTCCTTCTCCTCCCCCTCCTCCTCCTTTCCCCCTTCCCCCGCTTCTTCATCTTTGAGTTGGGGCCTGTATACAGGCCTTGGCGGAATGAGCGTTTTTTCGATATCCATGGTTTGAGCTGCCGCACTGACGTTTGAAGACTGTGCAAGGATTTTATTCAACGAACCAGGAAGTTCATTACTAGATATCGGCACGAACGGTTTAACGGGCAACTTGTTATACATGTGTTTGAATCATCGCGAACAACGAAAAACTAATGACATCGCATAGCTCAAAATTTGACAATGGGCCATTGCCAGGGCAATTACGCTCCCCTTTTTTCTAGAGTTTGTCCGACTGCCCGGGCGAAACCTTGATTTCCTACGCATAATGATTCAATCTTAATTTCACCAGCGACATCGGCGAAACAACTAAAAGAGACAAGTGGTTTGTTGGACGATGTCCTAGGCGAGACATTGAGTTTTAAAATACCACCCAGACCGGTTAGATTGTTGGGGGGGCGGAATATTCTGTCCTGGGACCCATCGCCCACACAATTAATCGATCAGTGGCCGGGGGCATTTCAGACCTTGAGAAAGTCCGCCCCTCCCAAACATAGAAAACCATGCTGATTGTTGGTAGTTTTAATTCGAGGTCTCGCTCAGGATATTGCTGTGCTTGCCATTCTCCACCTTGGCGGACCAGACCTGCCGCGCGGAGCTGGCGCTGATCACCGCGTGTTCAAGCATATGTTCACACAGTACTTGCTCATGATCATGCGAGGCATCAAGATGTTCATATACCAGCTTCTGATCCACATGCGCAAGCTCTCTCTGTCTCTCTCTCTCTCTTTCTCTCTTTCTCTCTCTCTCTTGCTCCCTCGCTCTCTCAACAAGGCCGACTTTCTATCGACCAACCCTCTGCTTCAATGTCATCGGTATGTTTTTTTTGAGCACGCGATCATGAATGGCAACGAGCTCACCAGCCTCGTTTTCTTCCAGCTCGACTCCCACATGGACATCCAGGGTTGTACCGCCAGCGGTGCCAATTACGTTTTCTGTTATTCCTGCCATAGCGGCTACGCTAGCAGTCCCCGTTGTTTGTTTCAATTCCCGGAATGCCAAAGACATCGTCTGCCACGACACTCGCAAGCGCTGGACCAACACCCAACCGCTCGCACCCTTCTTCAAACAGAAAGCGCTCATCGTCCTGCAGGAAGTTCACGGCTCCCAGCAGGGTCTGGCAGCTCGCGTGGCCATTTTGCTTTTTCACTACGACTTCTATTCCAATGTCTGCGGTGACATTGTTTGGCAAGGGAGGAGTTGGCTTCCTGCTCCCTTCTGCATCGGCGCCTGCCTCTAAACTGTCTTGTCAGCTTCGCGCCACTGTTCCAAGCCGTGTCGCGAGGCTGAACGTTGCCAATCACGACACGGTGTACGAGACGCTGCCCATGAGTGTTCACAGCCAGGACTTGCAGCCTGACGAAGTGGGTCACGTGGCAACTGCCGGGCACGAGGCACGCAGGAGGGCGCGAAGCAGCCCATTGAAACGTTCATTGTTGGCCATGGGCGATTTCCACACGAGCGCCATCCCGCCCTTCAAGTTCTTAGACCCGTCCTCACGATGGCGACCGATGGCGCCAGATGCTTAATACCAGCGAGAGCGCGCGCGTTGGCGGCAGCTCTTCGCGCCCATTGCAGAGACCCCACAGAGCCTCCCCACGCCCCTGCCCGCGACCGCGCAAGCCGCCACGGCCGTCGATCCCAATGTTGAAGCCAGCCTGGGGATATCCACATAGATGGCACCGCTCTCTCCGACCAGTGCATCAGTGACCGCGCCATGCTGCACATGTCTCTGACCGGAGTCACAGCGTCGCATGTCTGGGAGCATGCCAGTGACCCAGCCTTCTTCTACGACTCGACCTACCAGGTGCACTTCCAGCTCCTGCAGAAACAAATTGCCGAGGACAGCCGCACTTCACTGCGGCGCGGAGGCAACGCAGGCTCATCATGAAGGAGGCGGCACGTCCAGCGCGGAATTTTCAACAGCGGGCCTCCCTCAAGGGCCACAGCCGAGAGGCTCGCAGCGGCCGCTTGTGCACCAGGCGATCCGATGCCGGAGTGATAGGGCGACGCGACCGCAGTGCCGTTGTCCTCCTCAGGGCCACGGCGGAGCTGGACCGCTACCGCCACGAAATTCACAACGTTGGCACCTGCCTGAAGTCTCGCGACGAGTTCAGAGCCGCCACCGGCAGCGCGGCATCAGCCGACTGAGCGCGGCCTCGCCATGGCAATCAACAATCAGCAGCAGGGCCGCAGCGCGCGGCTGGACTGGGGCCCGCGGAATTGCCGCGCAGCTCACGAGGCGGGCCCAGGGGCCTGACCCGTTCCGGCGTCGTCTGGCACTTGCAAGACCCTGGATCTCAGCGATTTCCCGCGCCTTCGACCCCTCGGAACTTCTCCCGGACAGTTGACAAGGCGTCCGAAAGCTTCGAGAAGCACTGGCAGCCCAGCGTCTCAGCCAAAATCGTGGAATCTGCGGTCCGTCAACGCTTGTCCTCGCGCCTCCCGTCCTTCTCGACGGCGGACCTCCGGATCCCCTCGCCCGACGACTTCCAGGAGGCCTTCCACAAGGTTCGGCGCGCAGCCGCCGGCCTGACCCGACCAGCAGCCGCGCGCGGCACAGGCCGCCAGCCCTGGGCGTGCACTGATCCTCTAGGACCTGATCGCGCAGATGTTCGGCACGTCCCCCCCCCTCCCCCCCAACAGGGCCAATGATTTCGCGTTTTTGCTTTCTTGCCGAGGGAGGGGGGCCAGGTGCCTGGGCTGGAGCTGCGGCTGCCTGCAGCGCATGTCTAAGATATGCTCGGGAGTCCTCCAGGGGCGCCCCCCTTCTCGGGATCCTTTTGGACCTCAGCTTTTGCGTCTCCCATCCGCCGCCTCAAGGAAATCCGGCGGTCTCTCCCTGTGCCCCACAAGCTCGGAGCATGTGTTGACGACTTAGTGACTCAGTCTTCACTCTTGCCCCCCGCAGGGCCCTGGCCCCCTCCCCCCTTCGCGCGATTTCTCCCTTGGCGGGGCCCGAGCTCCAGATCCAGAAGGCCATTGCCGTGCCTCCCTGGGCCGAACGCACACCAGAGACTCAGCCAGTCGCACAGCGAATTGATGTCATGGCTCCTGACGGGGTCAATGTCAGATTGCGCCGTGCGCGAGATACCTAGGCGGCCCCCGATCTCCAATGGGAGGCTGCCTTTGACAAATTCTGCCTTCGGGCAGTGGAGCTGGCGGCCTCCGTGCCAGGGCCAGCAGTGGCCATGGCGTTCTTCCTCTCTCGTCTTATCCACGCAATATGTTCCTTGCCCCTGCTCCTTTCTCAGTCGCGAGCGCAGTGCGGCACATTGCGCAATATTGCACGTGCCCCTCCCAGCTCCTGGCGCCTTGTCGGCCTCCTCCATGCTCGGTCGTGGTCCCGGAACTCCTCACTGCCTCGCGTGTTCCTTCTTCGGTGGCGTCCGCCTGGCGATCTGCTACAGTTTCGAACCCATCGTGGTCCATAGTTTTCAGTGCTCTTGTCACTGCTCAGGACCAGAGCAATCCAGATATGGCCCTTGCTGGCCTGGCCCTCGCGCGCATTCGAGGCACCGCTTTACCCGCGTTGCGGGAGGGTCCGAGCATCACCCAGGACTGGATCTCACCCAAGGCATATAAATTGCCATGTAATGTCTTGCGCCCGAAGCGGCGCAGAGTCAAACGTGCCGCAAAAGTGGAGAACCTTTCCGCGCCGAGCGAGGGACGGCGTGCGAGAGGCCAGCGAAACCTCTCTTTCTCGTTGCACGCCTCCCGCTACCCCAGCGCATTCGCCGAGACACTTGCTCGCCGCTTGGCCGACACATTGCCCCACGCCCCAGCCCCTGCCGACCTAAGGAGAGCCAGCACACCTCGCAAGCTGTGCCTGCTCGGTTGCGCGAGTTGCCGTTATCGCGTTGGCCATAACAGCATCTGCCCGCGTCCCCTCCACTTTCTGGCGCTTCATTGCTTTTTCCTTTCGCCCGACCCCCTTGCCTGAGTTTGCCTTCGCACGCCAGAGCAACACGCCAACCCAGCGAAACGCACTGCCATCCAGTGTCGCTTGCAAATGCTTCGTGCAATCACGATCGCCGCGCTTGGCGCTGCGCTTCTTTGCGACATCGGCACGGCGTGTCTAGCAGTTCATGCCCCGCGCGCGCGCAGCTGACATGCTGCAGGGACGAGCTGAAGGCACGGCCGCTCCTCCTCCCGCTCCTCCTCCTCCTCCACGGGGGGAGGGCGACGGGGCAGCGTCAAAGCCCATCCCACACGACCGACTACCCTGGGGCAGGGGTCGAGACCTCTTTGTCGGGCGCCTCGAGACCGGGGTCGATGCAAACAGGGTTCAGCCAGAGCGCCCGACCTGGCAGATTCTTGCCGAGCCAGGGGTGCACTGACCCAGGTCTGCGTGCAGGATGACGCCAGGATCCGGCCACGCGCAGAGGGAGGCTAAGTCCTGGAAAGCGCGGGCTTGGTGTGTAGATGCAAGGCCCGCGCCTTCTGAAAAGTAGCCTCCTTTCCAAAATGCCGTTTGGGAACACTTTGGGTTCGGAAGGGGCTCGATGTTCCTCAGGTTCCTCCAGTGCTGTTCCTCTGGCCCTCCTGGGGCACGGAGGCGCTCACGGGGCAAAGAGGGGGCTTCGTTCCTTATTTCGCGTTCCTTCTTTCAGCGCCCCGACTGTACCCCCTCGTGCGCGCCGCCGGGCAGGCTCCGGCAGGATCCCTCAGTATCTTTCAGGATGCTGCAGAGCCTGATTGGCCCGGGCTTGCACTGACCCGGGCGGGTGCGTCCCCCATCCGTGGCCCGCGAGCCGAGACAGTCGGTCCGCTGGACGTCCGGGGGGGTGCGGGGGAAGGGGCCAGAGAAGGAGGCGGTGGCAGAGAAGGGGGAGGTTCCATCCCGGCCCGCCGCCCACCCCCCTTTTATCAGAGCGTGATTTACCGACCCCGCTTTCGCTTCCAGGCAAAACCAAGTCATACCACGCGCCTCATCGTCAAGCGGCCTGACCAATACAGGCCGTAGTTTGGCATCGCTTGGTATCTCTTGGAAGCGAGGGTGGTCAAAAACGAGGTAGGTTGGTTTGCCCCCCACTTTACAAAACCTTCAGGCGTCGGGGGGGGGGACAAAACGCAAGCAACGCTTTTGCCCGCGATCTCGGCATCCAACGGGCCCTTCTCCGACCCCGGGTCCGAACAAGAAAATCGGTGGTGGACCGAACCCCCAACAGTGACACGTCGATTAGTGAATTGTCCGTTTTCGGTTCTCGACGGGGCGCCGTGGCGGTTATTTTCCAGGCGTGCGCCCGCCAGGTTTGGGCCTCAGGTCGTTTTCACTAAACCACGTTTTGCCAAAGGGGGGTCTGCCCATGCCCGAGAAAACGTCCCAGCGGAGAAACAGCGGTTTGGGTGACAATGTCAAAAGTTTTGCGGCGCACGCCGTTCAAAAAGCCGCGCTTTTTGGAGGCATGTCAGTGGCCCAGGATAGAGCGGATCTCCGCAGAGAGCTCCAGAACGCTCCGAGGGCGCTCTGGAATGCTCTGGAGCGGCCCCTGCTATAGGTATATATATATATAGATGTATATTGATAAATATACATACATACATATATCTATATCTAGATCTAGTCCAGAGCTGCCTAGTCTCACAGATCCCCGATGGATCCTTGTCCAATGCTGTCCCTGCCTTGGTTCCGTTTTATGATGGGTTTCCCTCTCCTGCGCCGAAGCTGCCTCTCTGCTCCCACGTCTTGGCCCAGTCTCTCGCCCACATGTGCCGCAGGAGCACGCGGCGATGCTGGGCATGCTGCCGCAGGATCAGATCGGGGCCGGGTGGGCGCAAGATCGCCAGGGTTGGCCGAGCAAGGGGATCAGACATGGCACGGAGGGTCGAGGAGGGCTAGCTGATTATGGCAAAGGGGACGTCGGAAGGGGCCTTGTGAGAGACGGAGAGCCCTTGCCATAGCAGGCCAGAGCGGGGTGGCGGCAGTGCCCGTTTCGGCATCCTTCGCCCCTGGGTCGTCATTCTTTCTGGTCTGCCTGGTGTTTTCAGCCACGTGCGACTTCAAGTCAGGAGGTAACCATGTTGGAGCTGTGGGCGCTTTTCGGGAACGCATCCAGCAGACGCAGGGACCTACACACCAGTTGCGATCGCGACAGAGCGATCCGAACCCGCCTGAAGAACTGTTACAGTCGACCCGCCTAGCAAGAGTCGGCAACTTTCCAAAGCTACCCTTGCCTCCCGTCTTCAGCCCATCCTTGGCCGCTTTCGTTGGCCGCGCCCAGCTCGCACAGTGTCGCCATGGCCTCCCAGGGCCCGTGCATCCTTATCGTGCGTCTCTGTTGCACGGGCTGACTGTACGACATTGAGCCGGTGATGCGCTCAGCCCGCGCATCGTCCGCACCCTCAGCTTAACATCCGCATCCTGCCGGCGCTTCGCGCCATCGACGGCGGGCGCGCCGAGGGCGCGCATCTGTTCCAGCTCGCGTGCCTGGATTTGAGACGAGGCCCTCCAGCCATCACCCCTTCTCATCCATCCTCCTCGAGTCCCCTCGTTCTCTCAGCCCCTCCTTCTCCTGCTCCCTCTCCTTCTCCCTCTTCTCTCCTTCTCCCTCTCTTTCTCCCTCCGGTGCCTCTACCTCTCCTTCTCCTGTCACTCTCCTCATCATCCTCCCCCTCCCCTTCCACAACAAGCGGAGGAAAGAGGCGAATGAGGAGGAGGGCAAGGAGGGCGAGAAGGAGGCGAAGGAGGACGACGACGATGATCACGAGGGCGAGGGTGGGGCGGGAGTAGTAAGTAAGAAGGAGCACGGACAAGGACGACATTATCAAGGAGGAGGGCGCAGAGGAAGACGACCGCAACGAGGACGATGATGATGCTGATGATGATGATGATGATGATGACGAGGATTATGATGAGGATGATGAGACGGAGGTGGAGGAGGAGGACGACGGGCCGGGGAGAGGAGGAATAGGACGACGAGGGATTCAAGTAGGAGGAGGAGGACGGTTGGCGCCGACGAGGATGAGGGAGAATAGGCAGAGGGACAGTCCCATCAGATATTCTCAGCATGCATCAACTCACCACCAGCAGCGTGATGGCGGCCAAGGTCATGATGGCAATGTTAATGATGATGATGGTGGTGATGATGGTGATGATGATGATGGTGGTGATGGTGGTGATGATGATGAGTGTCAGGCCGATGTTGTTGGTGGTGGTGACGATGATGATGGTGATGATATTGATGATGGTGCTTATGGTGGTGATGCTGATGGTGGTGATCATGATTATGTTGGTGGTGATGCTGGTGATGATGCTGGTGACGATGCTGCTGAAGATGATGACGGTGATCATATGCTGCTGCTGATGATGGTGGTGATGATAATGATGAAGAACATGACGACGATGGTGATGATGATATCGATGATGGTGATGTTGATGATGATGATCATCATGGTCTGATGTTGATGGGGATGATGATGATGATAATGTTGGTGATGGTGATGGTGATGATGATGCTGCTGATGCTGATTGTGATTATGATGATGACGACGATGACGATGGTGATGCTAACATTGATGATGGTGATGCTGCTGATGGCGATGTTGATGATGGTGATAATGATGATGATGATGATGATGATGATGATGATGATGATGATGATGATGATGATGATGATGATGATGATGATGATGATGATGATGATGATGATGATGATGATGATGATGATGATGATGATGGGGAGGAGGAGGAGGAGGAGGAGGAGGAGGAGGAGGAGGAGGAGGAGGAGGAGGACAAGGAGGACGAGGAGGGTGTGGAGGATAAGGAGGAGGAGGGGAGAAGAAAGGAGGGGAGGCTAGATGGGGAGAGGGCGGATTATAATGGAGTGATGACGGAGAGGATCGGGATGAATGGGGGGAGGAAGGGAGACGTCGACGGCAGACGCGGGGATGCAGGCGCAGGCGAGGGAGCACGACGACGTGGAAGGAGGATGAGGGCGAGGACGAGGAGCAGGAGGAGGAAGAGGAGGAGGACACGCCTTTCACTCGCCTTCCCTTCTCTCGCCATACACCACGATCGCACGTTTCCCTTGCTGCTCTCGCTCCCCCCCTGCGCTTGCTTCTAGGACAACCAAATATGATGGAGAGGAGCGGCAGCAGAATGCGGTGATCGTTTCCTTATTGTTTTGCCGATCGGCGCGGGCCCTCGCACCCCCTCCCCCTCCCCCCATGGATTCTATCTTGGCTGGTCTTTGGCGCCTGTCCCGAGCAGGTGGAACCTCCCCTGCAGGACGCACTGCTGCAAACAGTCGCATGTAGCAGAGGTCCGGAAACAGACCCCCCCCCTCCTCCCCCCCTCCGCCCAATGTGGAACGTTCACACGGCGAAAAGAGGAGTGGGGAGAGGCGCAGAACGATGATGCTTTACGGTGGAGACCCATCGTGGTCCCCACCGTAACGGCGTAAAGCTTTCTGGGGCCTTCTCCCGCAAGGGTGCTGTTTGCTGGACGTTCGTCCAGGTCAGTCGACCAAGTGTCAGAGGGGGGAAGACGCACACACAGACACAAAGAACCGCCGACTCCCTGGAACAAGAAGATGGGAACCTGTGGACAAGTGGCTGGGGAAGGCGAGACCCCAGAAGGTACAGAAAAACATGTTTGGGGATCCTGGGATTCGTGTGTCTGTCTATCTGCGCAGCCCCGGGGCGCCTCGAAGGTGGGCGAGCGCCGCGCGACGCAGAGACCGCCGCTCCCCACGGACCCACGCAGCCCCCCCGCACGGGGCAGCCGCCAGGGGCGCAGAGCGGCAGCCGCGCGGCACCTCTGGGCAGAGGCCGGCAGAGGCGCGCCCTGGAACCTCCGAACCCGGACCCCCTCGATTGAGGACAAAAGTCAGAGCCCCGAATCATCAGGGGTAACTCGGGTCAGGGATAACTCGGGTTCGTTTTTCGGGAGTCCGAACCCGAGTTACCCCGGACCCGAGTTACCCCGGATATTTCGGGCGTCCAGAGCCCCGAATCATCAGGGGTAACTCGGGTCAGGGCTAACTCGGGTTCGTTTTTCGGGAACCCAAACCCGAGTTACCCCGGACCCGAGTTACCCCGGATAACTCGGGCGTCCAAAAAAGTCACGACGGGAGGCTTTCCGCTGTTTTTATGGCCTCCTGGGGGCCCTTACATCAGAGCGTGAATTACCTACTCCGCTTTCGCTTCCAGGCAAAACCAAGTCATACCACGCGCCTCCTCGTCAAGCGGCCTGACCAGTACAGGCCGTAGTTTGGCATCGCTTGGTATCTCTTGGAAGCGAGGGTGGTCAAAAGTGGGGGTAGGTTTGTTCTCCCCCTAACGACGGGAGGTTTTCCGCTGCTTTTTTGGCCTCTTGGGGGCCCTTACAGGGAGGGCCTCGAGGCCGAGAGAAGCCGACCCGGGAGGAAGGGACCGGTCCCGGGGAGAGCGGCTCGAGGCCTGCTTGAGTCGGGGGCGGCAAGGAGGGGGGTGATGACTAAGGGGGGGTGGATAGCATGGCGGGGGCCATGATATCTCCCCAGATTTCGTGGCGCCTCGTCTTGTTTCAACACGTCCCTGGCCCCCCCGCTGGGCCGCGCACATGCCGCCGGTCATGATTTGCACCCCCCCCTCTTGGAGACCCCCCTCCCTGGCCGCTCCCGAGTGAGGGTCGACGACATGAAAAAATCATTGCGTCGGGGGTCTGGGACGGGTGTCCGTGCAAAGGGGGGTCAGTCAGAGCGCCGGAGCTTGCAGGATCCTGCAGGCTCTTGCAGGCTCTTGCAAGGCCAGACTGACCCACGTGTGGATCGACCTGGGCCAGTAGATCCCCGACCTGGGGCGGGTGGTGGCCGCGCGGAACACGGCGCAGGCGTCGCAATCAATCCTTCGAAACTTTCTCTGCCCTGATGCGCCCGTCCTGCAACGCAGCACGCACCGTATACTTATGCAACACGCACATGCCGACACGCTGCGTGTCAGCTCCGCACGTGTTGGCCCACGTCCCGGCGAACGTGTCGCGCCAGGCCTACGTGTCTAGTCTAGGTCGTGTTGCGTGCTTTTTCGCACTTCCGTGGCGCCGTCGACCCTCCCCTGGGACCGAGCTCGCGAGGACGTCTCCAGCGAGGGCGCCGATGGAAGATTCTGTGCTCGATTCCGTCAGACTCGCCGGAACCGGTGCAGGGGACGCACGGCCTCACTTCCTCGCGCGCCAGAGGTGCGGACGACGGGAGTTTTGCACGCGCCCCTTCCACATTAAGGCCCTTTATAGGACGCGCCTCACGCCAGACGCTGCGTGCTGCGTGCTGCGCGTCGCGCCAGCCAAGGTCGCAGTCGATCCGTCGAGCCTCGCTCTGGGCTTGCCTCGCCCTTTCAGCCACGCGCAGAGGGGGGCGGGGGGAGGGGGGAGGGCTTCTCAGAAGCAACCCCTGGTTCTTAGAAGGCGCGGGCCTTCTCTATAGATGTGAGGCCAGCGCCTTCTAAGGAGCAGCTTCGTTCAAAGAAGCCCTCCCCTAGGTAGGCACGCGCCTTTGGGAATGCTGGGATCAGCGCACCTGAGGCCGTGCGCGAGGCGCGTGCTGCTTGGGCCGCCCGGTGGGTCGTTGTTTAGACCTGCTCCGCGCCGTTTAAACTGTCGTAGGTGCCTCCTCCTCCTCCTCTTCCTCCTCCTCTTCCCCCTTCCTCCTCCTCCTCCTCCTCCTCCTCCTCCTCCTCCTCCTGATCCTCCTACTCCGCCTCCTCCTCCTCCTCCTCCTCCTCCTCCTCCTACTCCTCCTCGAGGCTCGTCATAGGGGGGAGGGCGGGGGAAGGGCCTCCCCCCTCCCTCCGCCCCCTCGTGCGCGCCGCCAGCCCTGTGGCCTTCGCCCTCCCAGCCTCGGCGGTCGGCGCCGGCCCGCGGCGCTGCCTCGCGCTCGGCCTGCGGCCGTGTGCTTGTTTTCTTGCGCGGGCGGGCCCCGGGTCGGGCGCTCGGGCGGCGGCAAGCGCTCCGCACGCGGCGGCGAGCGAGAGGGAGGAAGTGTTGTGGAAGTCGATGAATGGAGAGGAAGCGTGCTGCCAAACGATTTCCAGGTGTCTCAAGCATGTGTTGAGCATGTCTTAAACACGGGAAAAAAACATGTTTCCACAACAAGTTTAGAACATTCTCCGACATTTGAAACACACTTGAATTCAACGATAGGACTGTTAGGGTGTCCATTGTCGTGGCATTCACGAGGGAGGGTGAGCAGGAGGATGCCCTCTCAGAAGACGGCGGGACTTCTCAGAAGCCCTCGCGCCTTCAGAGGAGTTTTTGTTTGTGTGCTGGGAAGGCTTAAAAAAGCTTCTTAGACGGCTGGGGGGGTTGTCTGAACCCTTTGAGAAGGTCTTCTCCTTCTCATTTTTGCAGGCGGATCAGGGTCGGGCTCGGGCTCCGTGGCTTCTACATCCGAAGGAGAAAAACCTGCGTGAACATAAACTTGTGGCTCTCCGCGCGGATTTCTTGGATCGGCGCCTGGGCCCCCAGCTAAGATTCAAGAAATCCGCGAGGACCGCCAGAAGTGTATGTTGATGCCGCTCTTCATGTCTCTACACATGTCGGAAGGCATAGTCAGGACGTCGGGATCCTGCACCGTCTGCCCACCCAATAAGACATGCTTGGCGAAGGGCCCGAGTCAATGCAGCTGTGTGGAGCAGGGCGCAGCCCTCCCTTCGCGTACACACACATACATAGATACACATTCATAGCTAGATGTTCACATATGAAAGAGCGTGTTCTACCGCTGCTGGCGGAAAGGCCGGGGGGGGGTCACTGGGGGTTCCCAACCCGTCCCCCCCTCGAAAACCGAGGGGGGGGCACTACCAGCCGGTTCGAACCCCTCCCCCCCCCCTTCCCAGTCCATTATGAAAAGGGGGGGGGGTCACTACCGGTTCGACCCCTCCCCCCCCCCCTCGAAAACTGAGGGGGGTCACTACCGGTTCGAACCCCCCCCCCGTTGCCGCCAGCAAACGATTCCCGCTCCTCGGGACAGTTGGACAATGGTGGGGATGCTGGGACAGTGGTGGGAACGGTGGTGGTGGGGACAGTGGTGGTGGGGACAGTGGTGCGGGGACAGTGGGACAGTGGTGCAGACAGTGGTGGGGACGGTTGTGGTGGGGACAGCGGTGAGGGGACAGCGGAACAGTGGTGGGGGCAGTGGGACATTGGTGGGGACGGTAGTGGTGGGGACAGTGGTGAAGGCGGTGGTGAGGACAGTGGTGGGACAGTAGTACAGTGGGGAAAGTGGTGGGGATAGTGGGGACAGGGGACAGTGATGGGGACAGTGGGGACGGTGGGACAGCACAGTGGGACAACAGCGGCGGGAACAGTGGGTCAGTGGTAAGTACAGTGGGGACAATGGGACAGTGGTGGGGACCGTGGGGAAAGTGGGGAGAGGGGGACCGTGGTGAGACAATGGTGGGGAGAGTGGGGACAGTGAGACACTGGTGGGGGCACTGGTGGGGACAGCGGGGACAATGGTGGGAACAGTGGGGACAGTGGGACAGTGGTGGGGACGGTGGTGGTGGGGATGGTGGTGGTGGGGACAGTGGTGTGGGGACAGTGGGAACGTGGTGGAAACAGTGGGATAGTGGAGGGTACAGTGGTGGTGGGGACAGTGGTGAGGGCGGTGGCGATGACGGCGGTGGGACAATGGGACAGGTACAGTGGGGACAGTGGTGGGGACAGTGGGGACAGTGGTGGGAACAGTGGGACAGCTCAGTGGGACAGCGGCGGGGACAGTGGGATAGTGGGACAGTGTTGGGGCCGTGGGGAAAGTGGGGAGAGTGGGACCGTGGTGGAAACAGTGGTGGGGACAGTGGGGGCAGTGCGACAGTGGTAGGGGCACTGGTGGGGACAGTGGGGACGGTGGTGGGAACAGTGGGGACAGTGGTGGTGAGGACAGTGGTGCTGGGGGACAGCAGTGGGGGCTGTGGTGCGGACGGTGGTAGGGACCCGGGAGTCGCTTGCTGGCGGTGAGCGTGGGTGGGGGGGAGCGGTTTGAACCGGTAGTGACCCCCCCAGTTTGTTTGGAGGGGGGGGGTCGAACCAGTAGTGACCCCATCCGGTTTTCTGGAGGGGGGGGAGGGTTCGAACCGGTAGTGACCTGCCCTCTGGTTTTCTGGGGGGCGGGGGGGGGGGAAAGGTGTTCGAACCGGCAGTGACCCCCCCGGTTTTCTGGAGGGGAGTGGGGTTCGAACCGGTACCCCCCTCTGGTTTCCCGGACGGGGGGGGGGTTGTTGGGGGGGGGGGGGAGGAAGGGTCCCAGCAGGGGGGGGATTTTCGGAGGGGGGGGGGGGACCCCCGGGCTCAGGGAGGAAGGGGGGGGGGAATTTTCCACACACAGTAAAGCGGCGGTGGATCACGCTCTCTCATACATATATATATATATATATATATATATATATATATATATATGCTCGGTCCCCCCCCCAGCGACCCCCCAAAACGCCCAAAACACGAAGCCGCGGTCTTGAGATGCTGGCACCGAACAGCCGCAGACACATGGTCTGTCACAGCGGGCTGTGACCCGAGAAGTATTCCTCCTCATCTTACTCTCCCTCATCCTCCCCCTCCTCTTCCATCTCCCCCCTCGCCTCTGCTTCTACTAGAACCAGAGCCAGGACCAGAACCAGAGCCAGAACCAGAACCAAAGCCAGAACCAGAACCAGAACCAGAGCCAGAACCAGAGCCAGAACCAGAACCAGAACCAGAGCCAGAACCAGAACCAGAACCAGAGCCAGAACCAGAGCCAGAACCAGAACCAGAACCAGAACCAGAGCCTTGCTCGGAGGCCACGAAACACTGTGTATCACAGGTTTTTCTGGTTGTTCTGGTCTGGGAACCAACGAAACATTGTATATCACAGGTTTTTCTGGTTGTTCTGGTTTTCAGGTGCCGACAAACAGGAGGTGGGGGAGCGGTGGGGCGAGGCCGCGGCGAGCATTTCAGCTCCAGAAGCCAGAAAAACCAGAAAAAACATGTGATACGCAGTGTTTCGTTGGTTCCCAGACCAGAAAAACCAGAAAAACCTGTGATACACAGTGTTTCGTGGCCTCGGCCGAAACCGATATGCTTGCGCGCACGGTGCCCGTGACGGATGGGCCGAGCGGATGAGTTCGTCAGCCTGGATGGCAGGCCAAAGTTGAGTTGTGTATTCGTGCTTTGGGCGCCAGGGGCGAGGATTTGTGGCTGGCAACAGGGGAGATGCTGGAGGAGGCATTCCTCAAGGAGCACTGCCAGTGAGCGGCGAGCGCTGCAGTCCCCGAAGAGTACACAGTGTTTTCTTGCTCGGAGGCCACGAAACACTGTGTATCACAGGTTTTTCTGGTTGTTCTGGTCTGGGAACCAACGAAACATTGTATATCACCGGTTTTTCTGGTTTTTCTTGTTTTCAGGTGCCGACAAACAGGAGGTGGGGGAGCGGTGGGGCGAGGCCGCGGCGAGCATTTCAGCTCCAGAAGCCAGAAAAACCAGAAACAACATGTGATACGCAGTGTTTCGTTGGTTCCCAGACCAGAAAAAACAGAAAAACCTGTGATACACAGTGTTTCGTGGCCTCGGCCGAAACCGATATGCTTGCGCGCACGGTGCCCGTGACGGATGGGCCGAGCGGATGAGTTCGTCAGCCTGGATGGCAGGCCAAAGTTGAGTTGCGTATTCGTGCTTTGGGCGCTCTGGGGGGTCGCTGGGGGGGGATCGACCATATATCTATATATATATATATATATATATATATATACACACATAGATGTATACGTATACACTTCGCGCCGCGGGTCAGTGCGGATTGGGGGCTTCAGAGCGAGCAGGTAGAGGCGAGTTGCACTGCCTGCGGGGCGCGATCCGCGTGATGGTTGCGCCGACTTGTGCGGAGGGCTCCCACGGATTTCGTTTGTGGAGCTCCCCCTCGGCCACGATCTGGGTGAGAGGTGCGCCGAAACTGGCCCTGGCCCGCATGCGAGCGCCCTCAGTGGTGTCGTGGGTGGAGCTCCCCGAGGGGCAGGATATATGTGACGGATGCGCCGAAATGGGCGCAGAGCCTCTGATGCGGGCGCGCCCGTTGGGGAGGCGGGTGGAGCTCCTTCAGGGGCATGGTCTGCGTCAGGGGTGTGCCGAAATGGGCGCGGAGCCGCCATCTAGGCGTGCCCGCTGGGCCGCCATGTGGGCGCGGCCGCCATGTGGGCCGTTGGCGGAGACCCTTGTGCGAAGCGTTCCTTGCGTGGGGCGTGCCGACAAGGGCGTGGGAGCATGAGTGAGGTCAGGGAGGTGGGGCAAGGCGCACACCTGCTCGAACACGCTGGAGCTCCCGAACTACTACGAGGCCCTTCTCGAGACGGGCGAGGTAGCGCACGGCGACGAGGCCTTCGCGCCGCCTCCGGGTCGTCTGTCGTCGTCGTCGTCGGCGTCCGTCGCCATCGTCGCGGCAAGTGCCGTCGTCGTCAGCGTCGTCTTCGTCATCGTGGTCGTGATCGTCGTCCTCCGTCGTTGTCGTCCTTCGTCGTTGCCGCCGCCATCGTCGTGGTCGTCGTCCGCCCTCCCTTTTCGTCGCAGAGGGGGGGGGAGTGAGGACTCGCAGATCGGCTGCGTCGCCCACGTCGCCCACGTCGCCTGCGGCGGGCTGGCGCCCGTCGCTCCGCCGGAGCAGTGTCGTTGGGCTGCGTGCGACGTCGGGGTCGTCGTCGTTGTCGCCGCCTCCGCCGTCGTGGTCGTCAGCGTCGTCCCCACCGTGGCGGTCGCCGTTTCAGAAGGAGGGGGAGGAGAATGGGGATGAGGAGGAGGATGGAGAGGCCCAGGAGGAGGCTGAGCATAGAAACGTAGAAGCAGGACGACAAGGAGGACGAGGGGAGGGAGGAGGACGACGAGGCGGAGGAGGAGGAGGACGAGGAGGAGCTGGAGGAGAGGCAGGAGGGAGCAGGGGGAGGGAGGGGAAGGAGAAGGACGAGGAGGAAGACGAGGAGGAGGAGGAGGAGGAGGAGGAGGAGGAGGGCTTGAAGAGGATGCGGAGAAGGAGGGGAGCAGCCAGGATGAGGACCAGGAGGAGGGGGAGGCCCCCCCCCCCCGGAGAGGCCGCGATGCTGAAGGCGCTCCGGAGGGTGATTGGCCAGCGGCTGCGCGTCGCCATCCGGGAGGCCAGCGGCTACGAGCTCGACACGCTCGGCGCCGCCCTGAGCGGAGGGGGGGGGTGCAGAGCGGGGGAGGAATTGGGGTGTGTTGAGAGGCGGGGATGAGGAGGGGCGGGGGGACGGGGCGGGGATCCAGAGAGGGCGAGGGGAGGGAGCGGGAGAGGAGCAGGGGAGAGGGAGGAGAGGAGGAGGAGGGAGGAGGAGGAGGAGGAGGAGGGAGGAGGAGGGAGAGGAGGCGGAGGAGGAGGAGGAGGAGGAGGAGGAGGAGGAGGAGGAGGAGGAGGAGGACCAGTGTAAGCCCAAGAGTCATCAACGATGCTGGCTCCTACAGAGGTCCATCTCCACTGAGGGATCTGTCTCGTCGGAAGACTTGAAGATTCTGAAGCATGACAAAGCATTGTTCTCGGGATTCCATCGCCACAGATCGACCTGACTGGTGCGTCTTGGCGAGCCTGAACCGTGCCAGAACGCCATTCCTGGGACGTCAACACTACGAACCAACGTACCTGTTGTACCCGGATAGCCCTGAATTTCTCCAAGGCATCATTTCTGGCACGTTGGCCCTGGAATATGTGAAACTCATTCAACTTTTACAAACGAATGTGCGAGGCACTAAGGCGAGAGCCACAGTTTGAAGTGGAACCGCCCTCAATCCGTGAAGCTCTTGCAGGCTGGTAAGACGAATGTACGTTGCGCTAAGGCGAGTGCCTCATTTTGAAAACCACCCGCCCTCGTTCCGTGAAGCTCCTGCAGTTTGTAGACACAAATGGGCGCAGGGATAAGTCGAGAGCCACATGTTGAAAAGGAGCTGCCCTCAATCAGCGAAGCCCTTGCGATTTTTTTACAGCGAATATGCGCGGCGCTCAGGCGAGAGCCATATTTTGAAAACCAGTCGCCGTCCATTTGTGAATATGTAGAGTTTCAGGGTCATAAATGGTAAGGAAGTTCCAGGCGAAACGCCTGGCCCGCCCTAAAAACTTGCCTCGGGGTGCGACAGGGAGAAGTTATTCATGCGGATAAGAAGTAGAAGAGGAGGAGGAGGGGGGGAGGAGAAGGGGAGAGGGCGGAGGAGGATGAGGAGGAGGAGGAGGTGCACAGGGGGCATGGTGATGAGGATGAGGGAGGAGGAGGAGAGGAAGGAGGAGCAGGAGAAAGAGGAGGAGCAGGAAGATGAGGGGAGGAGGACGGGGGGTGGTCGAGTTCATCCTGGGGACTCCCGCGGGAACTCTGGGGAGGAACAGAAAGGGAGAATGTTTGGGAGCACGAAGAGAGAAGAAGCCGTAGGTGGAGCAGGAGGCACAGGATGGGGAGGTGGAGCAGGGAAAGACATGCTCCCCGGGTGGCTTTGGAAGTCGTCGGGGCGGCATCTAATTTTGCCTGTCGGAGTTCTGAGGTTCCCGCATGTTGCCGGCAGAATTTCTGATGTTTTCGGCGGTGATCGGAGGCTGCCAGTAGTTGCAAATACAAGTTCTAAACATCTTCTAAGGTTCCCTGAGGGGGTGAGGGGGAGAAGGAGGACGAGGAGGATGAGGAGAAGGAGAGCGAGGAAGGCGAGTGCTGGACGAGTGGGATGGGCGACGACGACACCGAGGAGGAGAGAGGAGCACCAGTAGGGGAACAACAAGTGGCATAAACATAAAAACTCGGAGGTCCGCACGGATATCTCGGATCCGCGCGGGCCTCTTAGTTTTTATGTTCATGTCGTCGCTCGCTCCCCTAACCAGGGGAAGAAGGGGGGAGGATCAGCGAGCGAAGAACGGTATAACATAAACTTTTTCGCTGTCGGGGGCGCCTGTCCCTGGGCGGCAGGAAAGTTTATACCCCTACAGTGCCACCGAGAGGGGTACAAACTTTCCAGTCGCCCAGGGACAGGCGCCCCCGACAGCGAAAAAGTTTATTTTATAATGTTCTTCGCCCGTGAAGAGGAGAGAGGGCAGGGAGGAGACCAGGCGGAGCACCACGGTGGCAGGGAGGGAGACGAGAGGGCGCGTCGAGAACCACGGCCCCTCCGGCCGCGGACGGGCCCGGGGCTGCATCCCGAGCGCCCCCCATCGGCCAGCTCGGGCACCATGATGCCACTACCGTCGGGGCGCTGAAGAAGGAACCCTTTTCGCTGGGGAGGGGCTCGGTGTTCCTTGATTGTTTTACAGTTTGCCTCAGGGTTTCCCTATGTGTTCGATGGGGAATCGAAGTTTCACTTTTGGAAAACAGGGGCCTCGTTCCTTATCTAGGGTTCCTTAGGTCAACGCCCCGGCTGTACCACTAACAGCTGCATTTCCAAATGCCCGCCAGGGCCACCACTCTTAAGTCGGGCCTGTCCCTCTACAGGGGGCATATTCAAAAATAGCAAAAAACATGTCTGGGGACTATTTCCTGAGTATTTTTGAGCATTTTGGGAGCAGTGTTCTGATATTCAAAATTTTTCGCCCCAAATCCCCCTGTATGGAGATAGGCCCGACTTAAACTACTCCTGGCAACGCCGCCACACACACCTCCACCAAGCCCACGGAACCGATTCCACACAAACATCATATACATCGGGTACCGTCCCGATTGGTGCAATGAGCCGCTGCAAACACCTGCTTCAATTCCACATCCGACTCCGGCTCCGACGCCGGCGTGGTGACGTTTACTTGGCCGGCTGCGGTGACGTCTACTCGGCCGACCCGGTCATCAGCACGAGGGGGACGGGCCCGATACACGATGAACACTTACAGCACATTGCGTGGTGAACAGCAGGGCGATCTTGACATTCGCGAGAGGGGCGGGAATGGAGACGTGCATACACAAAGTTGCGTCGGGATTGATCGGCCTACTTGCGATTTTGGTTGTCATGTGTAACGACAAGTCCGTTGATTGGACGGGCGGGCCATGCGATACAACGCGGCAGAAGATGGTCTGAGATCCCCCTCTACTTGGATCACCAGCAGCATCACCACGATGAGTATCACGACGGGCTCCAGCTGCACGTCGACGAGCAACACGACGGGGATTCCAACTTCACGACGATGCTCCTCACGATAGGGGCTACAACAGCACGATGCTCCACAGCACGACGAGGTTCAACATGATGATGCGCTGCACATCGGTCGCCAGCAGCACGACGATCAGTAGCGCGACGGCGTTATGCACATTATCAACTGGAGTCTTCGCGCCAGAGGGAAGTATATTACATTGCTATTTCCCCAGACCCGTTGTGAAGCGCGTTCGTCTCATGACTCTGCTGGAGCATCCAGGCAACACTCCCAGCGATCTTGCTGACACAGTGTGTGGCGACAGTCGGCGCGCTGAACAAGGAGCCCTTTTTGTTGGGGAGGGGCTCCGTGTTCCGTAAGTGTTTCGCAGCTTGCCTGAGGTTGTCCTTAGGTTTTCGATCGGAAATCGAAAGTTCACGTATGGAAAAAAGGGGTCTCGTTCCTTATTTTGGGTTCCTTAGGTCAAGGCCCCGACGGTATATAAACGCAGTGCTTCTCAGTTCATTGTCGCAATGTTGCGCCTCTGCGCTGCTCGCCAGGATGTGGGCGGGCACTGCCACAGTGCCCATACGACTCGGTCGCGCCCCAATGCCAGTAACCTCAATTTGAGCTGAGCACTACCACGGTGCAAGTCAGAGCGTGAATTACCTACCCCGCTTTCGTTTCCAGGCAAAACCAAGCCATACCACGCGCCTCCTCGTCAAGCGGCCTGACCAGTACAGGCTGCAATTTGGCATCGTTTGGTATCTCTTGGAGGCGAGGGTGGTCAAAAGCGAGGTAGGTTTGTTTTCCCCCTAGCAAACAGCGACGGAGTCGGACACTAGCACGGTGTCCGCCACGGTAGAGTCAAACAGTCTTTGGGTGCCCGCTTCCATGGAAACGAGCACTACCGCGGTGCCCACCACGACGGAGTCGAGCACTGCTACGCCGCCCCCCGAGACAGAGTCGTGGCGCATACCAGTATGCTGACCCCGGCCACTACCACCATCACTCGGGAATTCGGTGCACGACCCAGGAGCAGGACGATGAGCAGGCGGGCCCATGAAAGTGCTTGTGCAGCAGTACCCGTCTCCAAGCTGCACCCCTCGACCGTAATCTTCTTCGGGGACGGCTATTTTTGTCAAGTCGTTCTTCAACGAGCTCCTCTTATGTGTCGTCTACCTGTGAGTCTCGCCTTCCTGGTCCTTCCTCCTCTCCACTTACGCTCCCATGCAGATTTCTGGGAAGTGGCCGCTGCACTGTAGAGCACATCGCACTGACTTGGGTCGTGCGAGAGTCAGTCTGCTTTTCACTCCTTCCTCACTCCCCTCGTCTTCTTCTTCTTCTTCTTCTTCGTCTTCTTCTTCTTCCTCTTCCTGGCTCCTCTCTACTTCCGTCCGCGGTGGATTGACCTTCAGTTCTGCGCCAAGCGGAAACTCATGGCAGCTCGATCGGAGTCTCGCGGTGGTTGTCCGCCCCCCTCCCCAACAAAAACGGAGGAGAGAGGAGATCGGACTGGACAAGAAGAGGAGGAGGAGGAGGAGAAGACGGACGAGCAGGAGGAGGAGGAGGAGGAGGAGGAGGAGGAGGAGGAGGAGGAGACGGACGAGGAGGAGGTGGAGGAGGAGGAGGAAGCGACCGCGATGCCGGCGCCGACGGCGCTGACGACGACCGAGCCGACGCCGACGTCGATGACGCCTGCGACGCTGGCAGCGACGGCGCCGGCGGCAGCGACGGCGACGACGCAGCCGAGCACAGCGACGGCGACGACGACGACGGCCGGGAGGCGACCACAGCCGGCCGCAGACGGCCGATGTCGGCGGGGGCTCGCCGCCCGGCGGCAGGACCCGCCCGGCCGCGCCACCCCTCGCGGCGGCCCTCGCGAGGGCCGCCGCCGGGCGGCCTGTCATGCGGAGGGCGGCGTCGTCGTCTCGTGGTGGCGTGGGCAGTCGCGCGAAGGCACACGCTCACCACCCACCAAACCAGCCCCGCCCAGCCCGAAGGCCTCACTTTGCTCTCCATCTCCAGAGGGGGGGTGGTGGAAGCGGGGAGCATTGAAACAGCACGTGTGGAGCCCGCACCCCCCCAACCCGAAATTCGCGTCTTCGGGTTGGGTTGGGGTGGTCTGATAGGCAGTCCCGCACGGATCCAGGTGCGTGGGTCAGCGACGGGCCCCGTTCCCAGGCAAAGCTGGCGCGATATCGCCCAGAGCGCCATGTCTCGAAGAAGACAGCACAGCAGACGCAACACAAAATCGAGCATCCGCGCGGATTGCTTGGATCGGCGCTGAACGCCCCCGGCGCCCCCCTGGCGCCGCCCCTGGCGCGCTCCGCGCGCCGGGAAGGAAGCCCAGTGTGGATCCAAGCAATCCGCGCGGAGCTCCGGATGTTTATGTTTATGCAGATTCTTGCGGCCACGCGCAGAGGGGGGGTAGGGGGAGGGGGGAGGGTTTCTTAGAACCACCCCTGCTTCGTAGAAGGCGCGGGCCTTGTCTGTAGATGCAGGGCCGGCGCCTTCGAAGAAGCAGTATCCTTCTGGGAAGCCTTCCCCCCTAACCCTACCCCTTGGTGCGCGCCGCCAGTTTTGGTCCCCCTGCTGTTAGCGCGCGCCCGAGGCAAGGCTTCGGGTGGCGCAGCCCCGGCTTGCCTCAACAGGCCCTCTCGGCGGTCTCGACCCGTCGGCGACGCCTCCTGCGGCGCCCCATGTGGCGCCCCAGGCCCCAGGGCCGAGATGTCGAGGCCGCCCCGGACTGCAGCCGGGCCGCGGTCGGCTCGCGGGGAGGGTAATACCTTGATGTGCGATGTTCTCCGTGCTCGTTGGATGTTCTTGTGCATCCTCAGGGGGGGTACGCTGAGGAGGTCTGGGCGTTGTTCTGGTTGACCCAAAAGGGGGTCCAGCGATAAGGAGGTGGTGCAATAGATTTGGTTGAATAGGTTTCTGGGGTTGGAGTGGACTTGGGGCGTGCAATACGTTCCAGTGCGCAAATGTATTGCTGGGGTTTCGTGTGCAATACATCCGTTGCAACACAATTGCCAAAACCTATTGCTTGCAATACATTTGCAAAACAATTGCCGTTCTCTGGCCTAGTACATTTGCAGAACAATCGCCCCAAACCTGTTGCACCACCCCCCTTTCGGCTGGACCCCCTTCTTGGTCAAGCAAAGATTGTGGCCGGCGGAGGGCCTCCTGCTCGTGAGTGGTGGTGTTCTGGCCCGGGTCCGACTGTGCTCGGGGGGGGGCCTGTTGCGGCCAGCTGGAAATGGGCACGAAAGAACAAAGCATTCAGGAGGGAAAAAACACACACAGACATAATTAATCGTCGATCCCACAGAAAATATGGGAAAATATGGGTAGTGGGGGGGAAGACAAGAACCCCAAAAAGATGGGAAAGCATGGGGCATCTTTTTATTTGTGTGTATTTATTAGTGTGTCCTGGGGCCCCTTCAAGCATGGCCTACACATAAGCTTTCGGAGCTCCGCGCACAGATTTCTTGGATCTGCGCTGGGCCCCCCTGGCGGCGGTGTCGGTGCCGCCCCTGGCGCGCAGGGAGGGGGATCTGGCGCGGCTTCCAGAGTTCCGCGCGGCCGGAAAAATTGCAGCGAGCTTGGTTGTGCGCTGGGGCGGATTTGTCCACGCCCGTATGGAAGTGGCCTGCCAGCATTTGCCCCACGGGAAGGTCTATGTCCCCCTGGGCCCCGCACAGTCGCTGGAGGATGGAGGACCCTTCAAGTTTGACGAATAATGGCCCCACAGATTTCGTATGACAAGATTTCTTACCGTGTGTGTGTGTGTGTGTGTTGATTGCTGTAGTGGCTGGCGTCGTGGTCTTCGTTTTCTTCTTCGTCTGTGCTGTTGATCATAATGTGTTTTTGACGTTGCCTTCGGGCGTAGTTCGAACCCCAACTTCGGGAAGTAAGCTGGTCTGAATTGGTCGCGCCTGGTAGCAGACGGCACTAGTTTCCGCATCCATGGGCGCACCCCATGCCGCAGCCAATAGCACGCGATGAAATCATGTTGACAGCTGAGAGCGCAACCAACAGGAAACAGGTTTGCGTTCTAGTGACCAAGAGCGCACCCAATTGCGCAACGGGCGGTTGTAAGTTTCGACGGCAGAGGGAGCAACCCATGGCGCGACTACCAGCAGGCTGTTTCAGATCAGGTAGTGCGCAACCCTTGGCGCAACCAAGAGGCCGTTGTAAGTTTCCGCGGTCACTGGCGAAACCTGTGAGGCAACCCAGCTCATAGCGCAACTTCTCGCGACCTCCCGAAGCACAACCTCTGGTGCAACATTCGGTTCAACCATTGCCGCAGCCGGCGGCACGACCTGTGGTGCAACCAATGGTGGAACCTCGGACGCAATCAGTGTCGCAATTGATGGCGCGGTGCAACCTTTGGAGCTCGGGGGCAGAATGAGGACGGACAGCGGAGGGAGGAGGGACCAACGCCACAACTTCCTCTGGGGCAGTCGATTGTGCAACCGAATTTCACCCACCAAACCACCCCAACCAAACCCGAACGCTCAGATTTACCCTCGATTTACCAAACCAGAACGCTCAGATTTACCCTCGAAACATAGAAAAAACACATGTGGAACCCTTACCCCCCGCAGCCCGAAATTCGGGTCTTCGGGTTGGGTTGGGGTGGTCTGGTAGGTAGTCAGAATTAGGATGCAACGAATGGCACGATTCACGGCGCAGCCTGTTGCGCAACCGGCGGCTCGATGTACTTCCAGCTGTGCTGCCCCGCGAGTCAGCAGCCGCGCTCGAGCGGGCGCCTGGGAGAGGGTGGCATGCCCGGGTTGCGGGGCCGGGGGAGGGGCTGCAGGGCGCCCGCGGAGGGGACATGCTACGGAGCCTTCAATCCGAACCTCTGATTGGGGCATTGGTTCCTGCCAGGAGGGCAGAAGCGCAGGGACCTTGCCCGAAGCGTGACCGCATGTTCTGCTCGGCGGGCTCCTGGCAGTTGCTTCTCGAGAAGCCACGCTTTCCAGAAGCAAGGGGCCGACACACACACACACACACACACACACACACACACACACACACACACACACACACACACACACACACACCGACGGATACACGAGTAGCATGTGTATCTTGGTTGGGGCTTTTTTTGGTGGGACCCTTGTCGCCATCGCCCGATCCGCTCCGAATCCCAGCCCGAGATGCGCTCCAGGGAATGTCGATTTTGATGTGCGGGTGTCGCCACGCGGCGTCGTCATCGTCTGCGGTGCTGGTGATCGCGGGAGTCCGACGGCCAAGTCTCCGCGCATCTGGCCCGGGAAGAGGGCGCACAGTCGTGCGGCACCAGGGGAGGCAGCATGGGGGCAAGTGGAAGGAGGGGGATGGGGATAGGGAGGGGGACTGGGAGGAGTAGGAGATGGATTTGGAAGGCGAAGGGGGCCAGAGCAGGGTTGAGGGGGCAGAAACGGGAAGGTGCAGGATGGAAATGAGAGGGCGGAGGAGCTGGCAGGGACTGGAGAAGGAGGAGGGCCAGGGCGGGTGCGCCGAGCGTGAGGAGGAGCAGGTCGGGGGGAGGCACTGGCGTGGAGGAGGATCCTGGAGCCGAGCAGACCCAGCACGCACCACTGCTCAGGCACAGCAACTCCGGCCGAGCACCCTCCCGCCCAGATGCCCCTGCCGGCAGGCGCAGGTGCGTGCAGCTGCGCCTGCCCGTTGAGGCGGTCGCCCGCTGGAACGGTGACGGGCCCGTGGGTTTTTGGCGCGTTTCTGGGGCTCCGTGGGGCTGAAGAATGAAGAGACCACGGTTTCGTCACAGGAGCGGAGTTCCTGCCCCGTGGCCCCGCCCCGTGGCCTTGCCACGTGGAGTGGAGCGGCCCAGGAAGGGTCGGGGCGGTGAGATAGCTACGGCTTGCACCGTTGGCAGCGCAGCCCACCATTCAATGCTAGACTGCGACGCTTGGCAACAGACATATGCAAAAGTGATTGGGCGACGTGCTCGACCTCGGTCACTGTAGCACATAGGAGCTTGCGATTGTGAAAACAGCCCTTCGTCCATCCGCTCAACTGTTTGGCACTTTGTGCTCTTGGGTTATGGATTGTGTGCCTGGTCTCGAATACGTTGTGCAGGTGCTGTTGACGTGCGCTGTGAAACATTGTCAGGCGAATGCACGCTCGTGATAAGATCAGTGCGGAAGGCTCTGTCGAGACTCATTGCCCGCTGGTCGATCCTTCGTGAATTGCATCGGGGAGGAGTTGCTTGTGAGCAGCAATTATATACGTATCCAATGCGTCTTGGACGTTCTTGGAGAAAGTGCCGCAAGGCCGAGGCGCACTGGAACATGGGCATGCATCGAGCCAGGTTTTGATCCATATCCAGTGCGCGTCGGTTTCTTGGGGAAGGGATCATGCCTTTCCACAAGCTGCAGTGGTTCTGGACACAAGAGCTTGCACGCACAACTCCTACCGACGAGGGCTAGATAGCATGTGGGGGGCGCAGGGGGGTCAGAGAGACGGGGGGAGGGGCGGCGAAGGGAGCGTATACGAAAACGGGGATCCAATTTCGATAGGTGTTTGGAGAGATGTTGGGAACGTCGAGGAAGGGAAGCGACAGGGGGAGGGGGAGGACCGCGAGGAGGACGATGCGGAGCACGGACGGGAGGATCGGTTCGATCGTGGAGGGAGGGAGGGCAGGACAAGGAGCAGTCAGCGCAGGAGTGAGCTAGATGAGGAGGAGGAGGAGGAGGAGGAGGAGGAGGGAGAGCAGGAGAAGTCCGAACGCAGAGTGACTACAGCTGTTGCACGCCATCCTGGGTTCCGGATGGCATGTATCAATGGTTGCAGTCAGGCAGGTTCGAGAGAACCCCAACCCTCCGACCAGAGGAAAATGGAGGAAGAAGGAGGAGGGGAAGGAATATTGAAGGGGGAAGAGGAGGAAGAGCAGGTAGGATGACGTGGGGGGAGCATCTGGAACGTCATACGTAGGAGGAGGAGAAGGAGGAGGAGGAGGAGGAGGAGGAGGAGGAGGCCGAGCAGCAGGACGAGGAGGGCAAACAAGTGGAGCAGCGTGAGGAGGAGGAGGAGATGAGCATGTGGACGATGACGAGGGACAGAAGAAGGAAAAGGAGAAGAAGAAAGGAGGAGCAGCATAGCCATGATAATGAGCAGTGTAAGCAGGAGAGCGAGGGTAGATACAAGCATAATAAGCGCGACGACGACGATGGCGACGACGACGACGACGACGTCGGCTACGGCGACAACGAGGACGACTCAAAGTCGACCGCGGATCTATCCGAAGATGCGTTCTCACGAGGATCCCGAGGGGAATCCATCCTTGTCAACGAGACCCCCCCAGAATGCCTCAGAGAGCCAGAACGCATCAACGAACAAACACAACATGTAGCTCCACGTTGCTGGCGGTGGGTGCGACGACGACGACGACGAGCGACGAGCGACGACCACGACCACGACCAAGACCACGACCACGACCACGACCACGATCACGACCACGGCCACGACCACAACGACGACGACGACGTCGACGACGGCGACGACGACGATGACGACGTCGACGACGACGACGACGACGACGACGGCGACGACGACGACGACGACGGCGGCTGGCTTCGTACGATAGCGAGAACGCAAGGGCGCCCTCGAGGGCGCGAAGTTATTCGCGCTCCGCGCTTCGCGGCTCGGCTCCGGTTCCTCCTCGTCCTCCTCTTCTCCCCTGGGAGGAAGCGCGAAAGCGCGAAGTGATTTGCGCTTCGCGCCTTGCGCAGCGTGAAGCGCGAAGCGGGTAGCCCTTGAGAACGAGAGTCAGGAGGGAAAGAAACACACAGACACAATGAATCGTCGATTCCCAGAAAAACATGGGAAACTATGGGAAGTCGGGGGGAAGACAAACACCCAGAACATATGGGAAAATATGGGGAATATGTTTATTTGTGTGTATATATATATGTGTGTGTGTGTGTGTGTGTGTGTGTCTCCTGGGGCCCCTTTAGAGAGGCGGGGCCGCCGGCGTCCCGCCGGCGTCCCGCGCGCAGGCCCGTCGGCCCCGGCGCGGCGTCGCCCGCCGAGCCGTGGCCGGGGCGCGCCTGGCTCGCGGGCCCCGCGGCGCTGCCCCCGCTCGCGCGCCACGGGCAGGCGCAAGGGGAGGCCCTACCCCCACGGGCGTCGCTGGGGAGGGGGAGGGGGAGGAGGGGGAGGAGGAGGAGGAGGAGGAGGAGGAGGAAGAGGAGGAGGAGGAGGAGGAGGAGGAGGAGGAGGAGGAGGAGGAGGGGGAGGGGGAGGAGGACCCTCCTCCTCCTCATCCGCCTCCTCCTCCTCCTCCTCCTCCTCCTCCGCACAGGTGGGACGCATCGACCCCCATTCGCCCATTGATCTCCGATAGGGGCCCTATGGCCCCAACCTGCCCAGGAGTGTGCTGATGCACTAGCGGGACCCTCTCGCTGATCTATCGGCGGCTCTGCCGCTAAGAAGGACAAATGCTATAGACATTTACTTTCGGCGATGTTCGCGGATTTCTTGGATCTGCGCTGGGCCCCCCTGGCGGCGCCTCCAGCGCCGCTCCTGGCGCGCTCCGTGCGCCAGGGAGGCGGTCCAGCGCAGATTCGAGAGATCCGCGCGCATCGCCAAAAGTTTGTGTCTTCTGCAGTTGTGGGTTCTTCTACTGCCCCCGCTCGCACACCACGGGCACGCGCAGGGGGAGGCCGTCGGGTGGCCTCTAGGCCTCCTAGATGGGGTCGGGATGGATGGGGTCGGAGGATCGCTCCGCATCGCCAATGCATCGGCTCGATGTGGAGCCCGATTTGCTTCACGCCGACGTCGCCGACGCATCGCCCACGTCGACGATGGATGCATCGCCGGTGCATCGGCGATGCATCACCGATGCGTCGACGATGTATCGGCGATGCGGCGCGATCCCCCAGCCCCATGTACTCGGAACCCATGTTGGAGGCCTACGTGTGGCCGTCGCCGCCGCTTGCCGACGCCGCTTGCCGCCGCCGTCGCTGCCGTCATTGCCGCCGTCGCCGCCGCCGTCGGTCACCCGCGTTGGCCGTCGGGCGGCACGGTCGCAGTCGTGGTCGGCGTTCGACGCCGCCGCCGTCATCGTGGTCTCCGTTGTGGTTGCCCTCCTCCTCTTCCTCCTCCTCCTCCTCCTCTTTCTCCTCCTCCTCCTCCTCCTCTTCCTCCTCCTCCTCCTCCTCCTCTTCCTCCCCCCTCCTCTCCGTAGCCATTATTTATCAAGATGATGTTTTCCACAGGGGGAAATCTGGATACCGCTGGTCCGCGGCAGGCAAGACTTCCTGAAGTGTTGCGGGGCCCTTCTTCCACGCACCCAGCGATCGGGTCCGTGGGTAAACGGAGGTGTTTACCGTTTCTGCTTCCCCAAGCACACAGAGCCTCATTCCTGGTGATGTCGCCCCCGCTGTCAAGCGCGCAAAGAGGCCCAATAAGAAACCCAAGGAGTCTCGTGGACGGTTTGGTTTTTCCGTGGATCGTGACCGCGTGGCTGATGATGCAAGCGGTTCTTTTGTGCATGCAGCTCCTGACAATTATCGTGCGGCTGCCCCTGGTCGTTCTCAACCTGCTGGTGAAGGAGATGTGGACGATGAACAGGCTTATCTGATGTGGACGATGTGGTGATGTGACTATGTGCACAGGCTTGCAGCAGAAGTATCATCCAGCAATCTTGGCGGGGCACCGTGACGAATTGGTCCGCGTTCTGCCCACCGTCGTCTCCGCGGCTGTGTCTGACCAGGTCAAGTACTTTGCACATCAGCTTGCTGGCCATGTTCTTGCTGCTGGCAAGCTCGCAGAAGGTGTTCAGCAACTCCCCACCATTGTTCGCGATGCCTCCGAGCGGCCCTGCGCTGACAAGCTCGACGCTTTCCAGAGGAGGTTTCAGGAGCAGCTCGACGGCCACACGATCAAGATACGTGCCTGCGAAAGCCGCCCTGATGAACATGGTACAGTGCTGCAGACCCTGCGCGGACATGTTCAAGAGCTTCGTGGTGCCCTCGCGCTGGCCCGCGCCAAGCCCAAGCCTGTTCCCGTCAGTGCAACTGGGTTCGACAGGGAGGGCGACGCGACGATTATCAGGGTCATGTCCTCCAACCATGTCAAGCTCCGTGCCGCGCAGCAGGTTCTCACTGACTGGGTTGTTGAGTCGGATGCCGAGGCCAAGTATTTCACGATCGCCTCCCCCGAGGACGTCGCCAGACATTTCACCACCCAGTTCGCTGGAGCTGCTGGCCATGCCTTTCGACGCGTCACCCAGATTCCCGGTGCCCGGCGCATCGCGACTGGCCAATGGAAGCGCTTTGAAATCTTCGCGACGGACAGCCAGCAAGCGTTCCTCCACATCGGCGCCGGCAAGAACCCAAGACAGATCAAGCTCGAGATCCACGGGCGCAAGCTTCGGGAAGCCTTCGGTGAGACCGACAGCTCCAAGTGGTGGTTGTTCGATCGCGGCCGCGGGCACATCGTGGCTGGATGGGGCCCAGTGCTACGCCTCTCTCTCAAACCTGGGAACGCCGCCTCGGAGATCGCGCGGGCCGATAACATCGCTCATAAGCTTGGTCTACCCGGAGAGCGCTTGGCTGATGCGGTCAAGACCATCTCGGGGGCGGAAGAGAGGGGGGTGATGACTGGGTGGGTGGGTGGATATCATGGCGTGGGCCATGATATTTCCCCAGATTTCATGGCGCCTCTTCTTATTTCATTGCGTCCCTGGCCCCCCCGCTGGGCCCTCACATGCCGCCGGTCATGATTTGCCCCCCCCCCTCTTGGACACCCCCCTCTCGGCCGCTCCCGACCATCGGTGCACCAGCTGGGTCTGCTGAGCGGAGCCTCTGACGACTTCGCGTCTAGTAGGCATGGCAATCTTACTGGCGCTCCCACATTCTCATTCACGTCATGGAATACCAGGGCTCTTCTGCAGTGCCAGGGTGCCAACGCGAAGCCGAAGCTCGCCTACCTCGAGCGCCTGGGCTGCACCCGCGGAGCTGTCTCTCCCCAGTCGGCGCGCCAGGGCGAGGAGCAGCTGGCCGACTTTCTCTGCAAAGCGGCCCTTGCCGCGCGACGTTGCACCTGCTATTGCGAGGGGTGGGCAGTCAAAGGTGGTGCGGCAACAATTCTTCCAGCGGGGTGCTAAGCAATGGTCTCTCGTCATATTATGGTTCCTGGTCGCGCGCTACGCATGGCGCTGCAACTGGAGGGCCTCCGCATCGTTCACTTCAACGTACATTATCACGACCTCGCCGCCGCGCAGCGCAATTCGGCTTCGAGAGTTTTGGCGACTGGCATGCAGATGGCGCAGGCCGACCCTTTGCACGACGCGGCGGCGGCCCACTGCGACATGAACTTCGCCCCAGGGGCCCCTCCTCTGCTTTATCAGCCCCGTCAGCTTCTTTGCTGAAGGCAAAGGGCAGGCAGAGATCTCGCCGGATGGGTCCACGCGCCTCGACGGGAACTCGCAGTCGGTTTCGATATTGGACAGATTGTGGATCAGGTGGCCTGGGAGGATTATTACGCAGCTGGCGTCGTAACCTTATGTCAAGGGCAACCCTGAGGTCCTCGCCGATCGTCGCGGTAGTGATCGCGCCCGCGCATGTGGTCAAGTTTACCCAGCGCGCGCCCAAACCTCCTCGCGCGCATTGGATTTCCCGCCACTTGTTCGAGCCTGGTGCGTTCCAACGACAAATTCAGGAGTTTTGCCGGCATCTGAGTTATTCCAACAAGAGCCCCCCGCGGCAGATCGAGCTGCACAAATGGGCTATACGGGAGGTTGCTGCTGATTTCCGTGATCGTCCGTTTGCCCGGGCGTTCACAGCAATTCCGGCGTTCCTGCTGCTAGCGTGACAGATGTGTCATGAGCTGTTTGGCGGAATCGCACCAAGCTGGCCCGGAATCTCATATGCAATCATGCTACGGCTTACCATTTCTTGATCAGTGACCAACGCGTTGCTCTTCGCCATGCTGCTTCTTTTCAGCGCTGGTTTCATAGTATACAGCGTCGCCATGCTGATCTCAGAACAGGAAAAACACATAAACACAACTTGTTTGTTTGGTTTGACGCCGGAAGGGGGCGTCGTTGAGAGGGTACCTGGCGCGGATGCGGGGATCGGCGTGGCGTCGGTCTTTGGAGCTGGCGGTTTGCGCGGCAAGTGCGTTGAGCTGGTCGCATATGTTCGGAACGCGTGACGGGTGGAAAGACCGCTCACCAGCAACTGGCAGTCCTCTGCCCGCGGGCCAGGATAAATCGTCGCGCGCTCGCAACGGGGCGTGGGAAAGGGGGTCGGGAAGAGAGCGCGAGTCTCATTCCCAAAAAGTCCATTCGATAGGCAGCAAACCGTCCTTTTTCTATTCATCTGCCGCACGGCCAACCGAACGAACGAACAACTGTCTCGGCGCGCAGTGTTATCGTCGCTTGCGCGCATCCTGGCTTCCTTCCATTGCTTCCTTCGCTTTTTTCTCGCTATCCTCTTCTTTTTCCTTTTCCCCTGCTGTGCCTTGCCCCGCCCCCGCCCTTCCTTTCCAGCCCGGAGCTGTCGCCGCGCGCGAAGAGCGCAACCCAAAGGGCGTTGCTGCAATTCCTTTGTGCGCCACGAAGTCTCGCGCAATTCCTTCGCGCACGGTCTGGTTAAACTGCCGACGCGGGGGGCACGTAAAGGAATTTCCTTTGTGCACGACCGTTTTTCGCCGCCCCCACAAGAGCACTTGCGATTCCATTGTGTAGACATTGCTTTCCCGCCTCGAGGAACGCGCGGGGCCTGGCGCTACAATCGCAAGGCCGCAGCGCCTGGCAGTGCGATGTCGTTGCGCCGGATACCACGCCCAAAACGATCCTGCGTGGATGTCGGCTCTTTTGTCGAAGTCGCGCTGGCAGCTGGCCAGCCGCGTCGCGGGCCCTGCATGCCCGCGCGCGCTACTTCGGTATGTTGTCGCGACGCGTGCTGCTGTCAACGGATGAACAAGCTGACGTTGCACGGTGGTTTGGCTGTGCCAAACCACCATGGAATGTTAGTCGGTAGCGGACTTTGGGATCTTGTCGCCGCCGACAGCCTTGCCACACCATACATGTCAACTGCATCCTAGAGCGCGGCCGTGCATCAACCCTGGTTCGGATCGCTGGGGATCCAGTCGCATGTGCG